ATTGAATAGCTTCTCTGTAAAACCTATGGAGCCTATCTAAGTATTACAGTACGCGTGGGAAGTTCCTATATACCATACCATATTGTGTGGACAGAGCTTTTGAATCTATATCTTACACGAAGAACTGTTATTTAACTATAAAATAAATCCTGATGTAGATACACCTCAAACAAACTCTCGGCATCTTACAATTTTACAGTACCCGAGTATCTGTGAATGTTGAAAAATGAAACCACTTCTCAAAGATAACCCGACCTTTTTTTCTCCTATTCTTTTCCCATCTTTGTATATTAACTTCATCCAGTTTAGAGCGTCGCCGCATCCACGGATACCATTCATGCGTGCACATATATTATATACAGGCCAACCCCTTTTTTCCAACTGAATGCACTGTCTTCCCTTTTAGAAATTTTTAGTGGGTCAACATTTTATACTTTTGTAACGTGTACATACATCGAGGAAAAGTCGCACGAAGAAAACGGAGCTGTACTTATATAAATTACGTACTCTTGAACCTGCACGACAGTGGCTAAAAAGAAAAGCCGGACATCGAGGCTTTTTTCCGTCTGCTCGTGCATCTGTATTCAGTGGCTGCTATAGACGGGAAAAGAGCTGCCGCTACTGGCGTGGCGAGAGGAATTATTACGCAGTTTTCTTTGACACAAAAGCCTCGTTTTCTCTTACTTTTCTGTTTTACCGTTTGACTAATCACGTACTCACTGTGTTACACATACTTATCTCCTTGAAAAATTGTACCTGCGATATGAGTTTGGTGTTCTGCATTATATGTATAGTGGCGATAAGCTACGGAAGGTGGAAGAAACTAACAATCAAATCTTAGAACAGTATCGTAGTTATGGTATTGTTGCAAAAAAATTACAATAAGAGGTTATAATACTTGGAATATTCTTACGGTAGAATCTTTCTATAACCATACGTCAAGTATATGAGTATGAGAGATTTGAAAAATCTGTCCAAATTACAGCTGATATTCATATAAACGCTTTTCCATTGATCCATTGGAAATCTCACCTCTAATAGAGATAAATCATATGCCCATTCAACAGCTATATACCCCTATTTAAAGCACCACAAATACTTCATTTATCCAATCAAAAATCAATTTTCTTTATAATGAAAAAAAAAAACTCTTCATACATACCTAGTCGAGTAGCAATACTACAAAGGATACATCTTTCTTTGGAAAGTCGAATCTCAAGTGAGCGCGTCTAATCAAGTCTTACCCACGCAAAACCACTCATGGTATATATACACGCGCCTAACTCGACACTTAGAAGCGTAATTGAGTTTCCGCCCACTTTATATACCTTTGGCCCAGAGCTATAAAAAAACCATCATAAAAAAAGTCATAGCTTCCTAATGGCATGTAAGCCCATAGATATAAAACCCATACTACTTCCATCACACAGAATCGCCGTACAACACGTAAGTGCGCGAAAGTTCACGACCCCACGATCATAAAATTCACTGCAGCAGCTAAAACGATCGGCGATCGAATCGACCGCTACTCACCTAATTCTAGCGCCTCCGTTTTTCATTCGGTAAAACAACAACCGCGATAATTGTCGGTGCCCTGTACCCACGTAAAATGCACAAGACAGAGAAAATCGCTCGAATCGGGTCAACGAGGTATGCGTATAAGCAGCACCTCTGATCTTGTCGCGCTTCTGTGGCTGCCACTTACTGCTGATGGCGAACGCCAATGTCTCTTTCGTTCACAAGGAGCCAGCTGAATTGATTTTCATCGGTTTCAACGTAGGCATGGATCTTTTTTGCACTTGCAGGGAGTTTTCACCGTTGATCGTTCCTCGACGAGAGTTGGGCTACAGCGTTATGCTCGATGATTTTTTAACGGCCCACGAGCTTTCTCATGCAATTTATCGATCAGATCGTTGCTTCTGGTTGGGAAAGCGTCAAAGTATTTTTGGCACTCCATAAAAGTGAATTCCACCATCGGCTGTTTTCATCGTACCTATGTACCCACCTACTTTGTAAACGCAAATGAACGACCACTCGCTCTCTAATCAATGAAATGCTGTCAGGTATTTTATGTCCTCGCAGTTTTTTAATACGGTTTTCAGAGTGAAGCAATGAAAACTGAACAGATTGGTTATTTAATAAAACCTGGACCTATTCAATGACAGTAAGAGACGAAATTTTTAAATCAAGAACAGAGGAAACCTTTGTACATTATTATTATGCTCCTTGCACAGTATGTACTTCATTTTTATTTATGTATTTGTGTAATATTGTTTACATTCAACTTTATGTAACATAAAAAATCACACGTCCATACTATCGAATCAGAAAAATATCGAGCTTCTGCACAATTTCGTGTTACAACACGAAAAAGCGTAAACACGTACATGGACATAAAAGAACAGAACCGAAGCATAGGTATGTATTTACCTTGCGCAGAGAGTAAGAGTGGTAGCGCGCACTTGCGAAACTTTTTTCGCTGGTGCTGTAATTTGCGATGGCGCAGCCGTCGCGTCGGGCGTCACGGAGGTAGGGCCAATTAAGGTATATGCAGCAAGTAGCCTGGACTAACCCGCCAGCCCCTTTTCTCTGTTACATATATACAGCAGGCCCCGTCGGGCGTATAGAATATACATCGTAAACTTATCCAGAAACAAGACGTCGTGGACGATGTCGTGGTATACTAGTCTGGGAACAATTGAACGAAAACTCTCTGGTAAGTACGTGCGTAGGATAGAAGAACGAAATGATAAGATGGTTCGTTGGGTTCCTCGATGAGGATCTCGTGGGAGGACATTTGCTTCATCTTCTGCAGTTGGAACAGTATTTTTAGACCACTGTCGATTCGTTCGGCGAGATCGAAATATCAAAATCACCTCCTATTTAATAGATTTTGTCTTAACTGTTTTTTCATATACAGTTTTGTTACGTTCGATTAGGTGCAATTAAACGAGGCGATCTAAAGAATATACAGTACTATTGGCACGAAGAAATCTAATGCAATCGCCCTCTATGCTAACCAAAAAACCCATTCCCACAATAGCTCAGCGATCAAACGTACGGCCTGTGCCGATACAGATCGATGATACAGCTCTTGAAATTCAATAACTTTCGTACCTCGAGACAGCTTCTGTGTTATTATATGGCCTTTGTGTAAGAGCTGTACGTGGTACAGCAGCTGCAAAAAAGCAAGAGACTGATCGTAATTGAGAGACAAGTCCCGACCAGCCGTCGATGTTTAGCCCGTGCTCGCGTATTTGGATCGCTAATTGTTTCTCACTGCTGGGCTTTAGTGGGAAGCAGATAGGTAGGAGGTTTCGTAACTGCTCTTTTCCTTTTCTAATTTCACTATTACGCTGCGAGCGTTGATCAAGATGCGGCGAAGGGTCCGCTTACAATGCGCAGTTAACGGTATTATACACGCATCGCTTACGGCTTTTGCATTGATACATTTGGAAATTTTTCGACAATTGCGTCTTCGTTGCTTTGTTTTTTGATTGTTTGTTTGAAAGCCAATTTCTCTAGCAGAATCGTGATATTTTATCAATTAGTTGGTACAGTGGTCTATATGATTGTAAAGAGAAAAATTATGTATCCAATCATAGGTATCTTTAATTATATCTAGATCAGAGAAATTTCCGCATCAATTAAGTCTTTCTTCTCATTACTTTTGTCTGTTCTGATATCCGTCGATATTTGATGCGAACGAGCTCGTCGTAGGCTCAGTTGGTTAGCATGCTAGCCATTAATACAACACAGCTCAAGAGGTCGTTGGTCTGATTCCCGGTTGGGGCACTCAGTTTTTTTCTGATAGTCTTTTCCGGAATTTAATCCCCAACACTGACTTTATTAAGGATTAGTTTTAAGTTCCAACCCAAAATTCTCAACCCAATTCAAATAAATACACTACACAAGTGTGTATTTAAAAAAAAAAAAAAAAAAAAAATTTGTTGTGGATTGTAGTTTAAAAAAAAGAATAAGTCTAGCGGAACAAAAACGTACTTTCTATAACCTATATTTGATTGTAACAAGAGTGACGACAAAAGTTACTGTTGTTATTGTGATTTTAATGTCTAACGAATCTGTTTATAAAATAAAAGCGTGTTAAAAAATATCACAAACCTTAGACTTGACCCGTTTGAAACAGTTATAAGGTTGCGAGTTCCATAAAGGTCCGATCGACTGGAACTTTGACAAAATATTTTAGAAGTATTCGGAAAACTGTTCCTCAGCAGCGTGAAAATTTCAAACCAATCGAGATTGCCGACTAAAAATTTCTGTCAACTTCTTCGTTTATTATTGATAGTACCACTTTTCTCTAAGATCTGTCTCATAATATACTTAGACACATATGAGTGTACGAAACAACAACAACCTCGATTATCATGAAATACCATAGCGCTTTCTCACACATGAAGATGATAATGATGAATTTGATTATGTTTGCGTAACTCACTTGCTATTTTATTACTTTCCAATCTCTCAGGGGAAGAATATGTGTTGATCATAAGTATATTGCATTACATGGAAGCTATACGGATTCGTTCGGATTTTATAAAATAATTAACAATACAAATGTTTAATGACTGTATGCACGATCTGAAGTAACATCCGACACACCACGATGCAGTCACATTAACATATTTTCTTGAAAGTTAATTATCGTCAAAGCGCTAAGGAACGTAGAGAAAGTGAAATTTATTTATACTCTTAGCTGCACTGCGTCTTTGTTTAGTCATTTTCACTTCAATAAGGAAGCGGAATCTTGATTACTCTTTATCTTGCACATCTTGATGAGTAAACACAAAAAAGCATAGTCTATGAACAATTGAATTTTTATTAATATTAAACTTCATCACAACTTATTATAACATTGTCCATTGTTTGCTCAAAAAAATTTAATTTTCGATTAAATATTGAATATAAATGTTTGTACACTGAAATTTATCCAGGAAGCAAAATTAGTAAAAATAAAAAAATATATTTTTTTGTCATTCCAGTGCGGTAGTGGAGCTTCAGAGGGCGTGGTGAGCGTGAACGGGGTCGTAGGTGGCATGGATTGCATGCCCCTGCGTCCCGGACCGTTCCAATACCTCATCAGCGAGCAGGCCAAGTCACTGGTCGCTCTACAGGAGCTGCAGAATGAGGTTGGTGCCCTACTTGAGTTCCGGGACCTCGTCATTGAGACGTTCCCAAACCTCAGGCACAAGATGGCTGTCACGGCAGCGACGTCTGCCACAGACGGTACTTCGGAGGCCAACGTCAACGGCACAGCGTCTGTCCTCATCTCACCTGGCCATCAGGGTTCGCACATGCCCCTTTCCAGTCGTAGGTGAGAGAAATGGCACTTGCTTGACTGGTACTATTTAGCAACTTTCACGGAATCGTTTGGAGTATACCTTTAAGGGGATGGAAATATCAAGTTATTTAACAAACATCCATATCCTACACATTTAACCGACATATTATGTACTTATTCAATTATTACGTTGCTAGTTTTTGAGTAAATGTCTAAGTAAAATAACGGGGAACTGATCGAACTGAAAATTTCAATATAGCCATTTGAAAATTTGCTCAAAAATTTATCAAATGGTTGGTTTAGTCTTTATCTATAGTACCTTTGTAATTGCATTTTTCAAAATTTACTCGAATGGAAATATACACTTTTCCTACTTTGGGCATTTTTTTTACCTTTGGACATCTACTGCGCCCTCAGTAGGAAAAATAGTTCGCACCTGATGCGCATCCAACCAGAGCAAGCGCAAGAAATTCCTCGGGTCTGGTGCTTGCTCTGGAGACATAAGCTACCAGGTACAAAAATTACATTTTCCTGTAAGATGTATTTTTATTTAAAAAATCCAGTATTGTATCCCATTTAACTCCTGATAAATTCCATCTACAGTCCATCGTCGAGGCGAATGGGCGAGTGGGAGCCTGGTAAGGTGAGACGGCGGGTGGCCCAGTCACGAGGAGAAAACGACTCTTCGTCACTGCCCAGAAGCCGTAGCAATTCGCACAGCGGCGGCAACAAGCACAGCGCCACGGTCCAGGACTCAGGCTTCAGCACGGAGACCTCGTCCAAGGACAGCGCGTCAACAGCCATACCCAGGCCGCAGAGTCCGAGTGGCAGGCCCCAGCAGCTCGACGAGGCCGAGGATGAGCTCTGGAACCTGCTCGATGTTATACACAGAAAAGGAGTCCGGCTCAGAGAAGAGGTGGAGAGTTTGCAGGGTAAGGATTTTTTCCTCTTTTTCAATGCCAATGTTCCAAATTGTATGATTGCAGTTAACGGTCCATTTTTACATTTCTCGCAAACTGACGTCGAATGAAAAAACAGATGTATAAAAAAAGTGCAATGGCCTTGCTTTTGCTTTTTCTATTAAAAAATTTTTCATTTAATTTCGTTACACGAATTAAGCTTTATCAGAGTTTTATTTTTTTCACCATTAAAAAAATTAATTCCTAGATAATTCGTGCAAAAAAAAATGTGGATCAAAGTAAATTACCACATTTGTAATTGTCTCCATCCTATCAGCCTAAAGTTTTCGTACATTTTGGCATTAACTTTATTGACTAAACTTCATCACAATGCAAGTGATTTATTTTAAGTTTTTCTTGAACGCTTTCGAACGCCAAAACTCACTTTGAGAGTTGAGTTGTAACTGAAAAGTTAAAATCATATAGTTCTAAATTATTTGATTGAGATTTGTGAGATCTCAGTGCTGCAAACGAACATCAAATTTGATAAAATAAGCCCTTATTTACAGGTCGCCTTGAAAGTGTCGCCCCAGAAGAGCTCGACGTGCCGAGCGACATCCTCAATGCGGTTCGAAAAGTCACACATCACGAACACGACAATGATGTCGACGTTGACGATAACGACGACGACGACGACGATCGCACGCATCTTCACCACCGGATCCATCACCTCCAGCTCATCGACGGTGAGCTGGATTCCCGTGACGCGGATGACCTGCTGCTGGACGACGAAGTGCCCGAATCATCGCAGCTGGTGCTGCTGCGTCGCGAGAAACTCCAACTGCTTGACAAGGTTGCCGAGCTCGAGGCCGAAACGATATCGAGTCGAGCGCGAACACAGGAGCTCCAGGCAGAGCTGGCAGCGCTTTCGGCGATCAAGGCGGACTTGGAGGAAAAGCTGAAGGCAGGCCTCCAGGGCCAGAACACCATAGCCACGACTATCACGCAGAGAATACAGCCGATAGAGCCAACGGCTTCTACCGCGCCGCTGCAGTCACCCAGGAGCAGCGGGCCCCCGGTCAACATTGGCAGCAAGGACTCAGCTTTTGTTAGCGTCAACGTTGGCGGTGTTAGTGGTAGGGCACGCTACACAGTAACTTCTTTCCTTTTGCTTTTCTTTATTATTTGAGCATTAGGAGATCACGAAATATGTTTATGTGAAAAATAGGAGCATGACAAAACGGAGCCACTGTATCATCGTACAAGATGTATGTTTTTCAATTCGAATGAATCACATGGGTTATTTTTTGATAAACTCAACTCTTACAGATTAGCGATCTCTCACCACTCGAGACAATGATCCGATTGTTAGCGTCACGCAAATTAAAACCACACAGTTCTAATTTGTCGTTTAATTTTAATAACCCTTATTTCCAGACAAAGTACAGAAGAACCGGTTCAGAACAAGGACTATCGAGAGGAACGTGCTTGCCAACGTAGCGGCAGCGGTCAGCCGCTCGACCGAGGATGTCCACCTGGACGCGACCACCGACGCCGGCGCAGTAGCGGAAACAACAACAGTCGAGAGACAGGTGCACCTTGGAGCTCTGGACTCGGTACTCATGTCCCCGTCTCAAGAGTGGCCACAGTTACCCAGGGCCGAGATCGATACTCGCAAAATCGCTGCAATCCTAAGAGAACAGTCACCGCTCGAGCTGCAGCGGCACCTTATCACCACAACCGTCCAAAATCAGGTGGGAATGACGATTTACTGTTGGTGATCATTCACTTGTCATTAGCGTCTTCCAAGTCTTACAAACTTTTGTTCGCCCGCAGGTCCTTCAAAAGCGAATAGATGAAGTAGAAAGGAGCACCGAAACGCTTTCAGAGCGACTAGGAAAGGCGCACGAAGAAAACGAGGACCTGCGTTTTCAGGTACAAATGAATTTTCATGGCTCTCATGAACAGTAATATTACGTTGTAATTAAACTCTTTTACCAGCTGGCCGAGCGAAACATCGAGCTGGAGGGTACGCGGGCGCGGGTACGCGTGCTGGAGCGGATGCAGCAGCGACCCTTGACGGAGAACGACGCGGATGACGAGTCCGACCCTCCGCTCTTGACTAACCACAGCAGTCACCTTCCGTCCAATGTCCTCGAAATGAATGGCACCGGCGGCAACAGTAGCACTAGTAGCAGCACTGAGTCGTCCCGCGAGCCGGCAGCCACAAGCAGCAGCACCGCCACCGAGCCGACGAGCGGCCAACTGAAGCCCTCGCCTCGCCGGCGACCTAGTCGAATACCGCTGCTGGGCGCGACGAAGCCCATCGCCCCAAAACCACCCGTTGTACCACCCACGGCTAGCCACCGGCGCAATGACAGTAGGGACTCGCTCCGGTCGTTGGGCCAGAAGAGCTGCAACGGCAACAGTAGCGCTCTCTCGATATCCTCGTCCGGTCGGCAGCAGTCCGCGATGAAGACAACCGGCCGCGACTCCAGCCGGGAGTCCCTGAACAAGAGCGCTGGCAGTCTGCCCAAGAGCCATCAGGCCAATGCTACGCGCCAAGAGCCGGGCAGTCGCTCGCTGCCACGTAACAACTCGGGCTCGCAAAGTTGTAGGGATTCATTGGGCAAGCAGCAGCATAACTTGGGCCCGAGCAACTCGATTTCACGGGCAACGGCCTCGATCGAGTCGTCGGCTGGCAGTCAGAGCCCAAGCACGCCGCCAAGGAGACCACCGGCTCCGACCAGAAGGTCACAGAGTCAGACTGCCAGGCCCACGGCTGCGACAAGCGGCGCCGAAAGTACGGTCGACGGTAGCGGCAAGGTACGAACCGTAAAGAATTTCTTTTGGACGACATGGCTCAAGTGAACTCGAAGATAATGGGAAAAGTGATAGACAGAGCTTTGCGTCTTGTCCTGGGAACGAAGCGCACGAGTTCGTTTCTCTCTCTCCTCGTTCATATTTTTGTCTGTTGCTTTGTTCGTAGGGATCGAACATAAAATCTATATGTGAAAGAGAAACGAATACGAAACTACTGTGTAGCTAATTCTGAGACTACCACACAATTATTGTTACTATTTATTATTATTATTTTTATTATTATTTAATTATTTAGGTTTTTCACCATTTCTTACTTCGTTATTTTGTTCGATATGTATTGTTTGTTTTATACGCAAACACGGAGATATACGTATAACACATTATGTAACAACAACACGTACGCGCGTGTCCACGTGTATGGACGTTTTATTGTTTTTTTTTCCATGCACGAACGAACATTCCTTGTATTTTATCATTGATTTTATCAGATTTATGATTATTTTCGAAATTTTTTTTTTATATACGCTCATATTACTATATTTTGCGAGACACAGTGAGAAGGCGCCAACCGTTTAATTGTTTTACTATTTTCTTTTTTCTTCAATCGTTGAGTAATTTTTTATGAAATTTATATTGTCAATTTTTCTTAATACTCTGCAGCTCCATTATACGTTCGATGATTCGTTGGCAATAAAATCTCTGTAAATTACAAATAGTTAAAAAAAAAAGTAAACAGACTTCTTTTATACAGGACTCGACATGATCGCAATATTCAACGAAAATAAAGCATGTTGAGATTACATATAGTTAAAAGTTTCAAAAATTGACTAAAAATTAAACAAGAAAATTGAGTTTGCGTGCCTTTTAGATGAAAATTATAAAAAAGTCTACGTCTTAAGACAATCTATTTCAAAGATATCTGCACGTGGACTGTACTGAATTCCGAAACGGTCACATCTCGAGACGACGAGACGAGGATTAAACAAAAATCTATAAAACACCAAACTAACAAATTAAACCAAAAAAGTCCATGCGTTAAGTCAACCACCACCACCACCATCACCACTACTACTAGTACTACTATCACGGAGCTGACATCTCCTTGACCTCCTGTCTGCGAAAGGCCGAATTTAAGTATCCGAGTGGGAGAACGAGGCAGGCGTCCTCCTCGTCTTTGCTGCCGTTGTCTTCTCTTCCTCCTTTGATTCTCTGATCATCGACATCTGAGAGCGCAAAGCTGCCCTTTTGCTCTTATAGACAAGAGTGAAATAGAATAAAGCCAAAAGTAAAGCAATTGTTATCGTTTTCATGGTCCTTCACTATCGCACACGAAGCGTTGTCCCGCTCGTTCTTACGTTCTTCGTCTCTCGGGTGTCTCTCGTAAGTTATGCTTCTTTAATTTTTAAGTTTATTGTATGATTTCTGCTTTATGATGCTTTTTGACTTATTATTATTATTATTATTATTACTATTTTTATTATTATTTTTATTATTATTATTTTATTTTTATTATTATTGTTGTTTGATGGCCTGGATTATGACTCAGTGTGGAGATGATGATGAAGTCGTGGCTGTTTTTTATGCGGCACTACGCTTCCCTACAAGTGTTTGAATCCTATTGTAGTTCCAGTATGTAGTTTTGCATCCAGTTTTACACCTAAACTCCTTTGCACACTAGTAATTTTTTTTTTTTTAGTTTGGTAGGGCATCCATAGATCTATGTCATTTTTTGTTTATACTTATATTTGATATGTATTTTGCATGGAACGTCATGTAGCTAATTCAGTTTTTCTGAATTTTTGATCTATGGGTTTCATTTTTTGGCATGTGCACGTAAACGCATTTTATGAAATCGATGATGGCTGATAAATAAGTAGTTCAGTAAGTGATTTTGATGATTTTTCTTCTCTTCTATTACTGTCAAGACTTTTGGTACTAGCTACTTCATAGTATCAATATACTTTTCAAAATTTGATACTAAAATGATTGATTTTTAAATTGATATTTATAAAATTGAAGAATACATTTGAAAATAATATTTTCTTCTAATAAAAATTTAAGCATTTAATTAAGTTGTAAAATAAAATTTATTAAATCATTAATAGTAAAAACTAATTTTCTAAATATATTAAGTGTCAAAATATACATAAAAAATGTGACAATTTTTTAACATACATAACTGTACTATTGAATTGTATACAATGCAAATATTGGTAAGCTTGAGCTTTTAGTAGTATTGTCAAATTTAAGATAGATTTAATAAGAAAATTAAGTTAATAAGTATTTAGAAACAAATATCAAGCACAATACCAACGCTAATTTATACTGTTACTACAACTAAACTTAAGATTTATTTTAAGTGAACATTCAGCACTAGCATGCGTTTTTTATTTTCATATAATTGCATTTAGGAAGTCCATTTTAATCAATTATTTCCCATACTATGTAGTACTCTCTTAGTTTCCTCTCCTTCACAGCTTCGCTATCATGCACTATAAATTACCTTACTTTAGAGGTATTTCTATTTTACATTTTATCTGTAAAAGTAGAACAAGGCACTTGAAATATCGTAATTTCACATCATCTCTTTCGTCACTATGAAAAATAAGCATTAAAGTTTATAAAGGCTTTCAATAATTTATTTGCTGAAAATGTCATTAATTTTGATTTTATTTCAAGTGCCAATCACACTGTTGCAATGGCTTTATACACTGTTCCAATATCCTTAAGTTTAGTTTGGTTCTATGCTTTGTCATTTTCATGCTCCATTTAGTTTGCTATTTCAAAAAAAATTTGAGTACTTTGTGACTGCTATACCATCATCCATGAATTGGTATTATGGTGGGTAATATATTTATATAAACGAAAGAATGGTGTCCAATTTATACGCTTACTTGCTTGGTCTGTGGTTCACAGTGGTCCAGTCTTTTTTATGGCTTTGGAATGCTGCATATTTGCATATATTATTAGTATAGAGTTTTATAATTAAAAAAGAAATCTTGATAAATGATCGATGTTGCAGAAGTATTATGGTTATCTATCCTATAGTTTCAGTGTTTAAGTATTGAATTCCACAATATTTAAATACACATTTTGTAAATGTGATTTTTTTTTAATTTAAAAGACAAATCTTAAATCTAAAGATCCATTTGGTAAAACTTATACGTACATACTTTTGTAATCGTGCATATGGAAAAAATAAATATAATTTCTTCAATAATAAGTGAAATAAATATTACACCTACATTTTATTGAACGAAATTCCAGAGCATGCAATCGTCCAATCCACCGAGTTCGTGGTTTCCCTCGAGTATCTCACTCTACTCAGACTCTCTGAACTCAATCTGCAACAGTCGTAGTTTAGGACACACCCAAACCAACGAGGAGGATGATGAGGAAATGTCATCACAAACAGGCTCAACGCGCGTTGAATTCATTATTGGCTCACCCACACGCAAGCGACTCTTTGTGACACCCTGGACAGTGCCGACCTATCTAGACAGCAGTGACACAGCAGCTGGTTTCACCAGCTACGATTACCAGCCAGATCGAGGTGAAGCTCTGGCAGAGCTCGATTCGCTGGAAATCGATGGCAGATTGGATAGTGTTAGGTGACCCAACATTTTGACATCATTGCAAGAGTTCAAACAAAAAATTAGAATGCAAAGGTCAAGGTCAAAATAATGCGACTCTTTTTGAGAAGTTCCATGTATTTGGATATTTAAGTGAATGGTTGAAATGAAATTTTTTTTCCCATTTTGATTGAGTGTCTATTAAAAAGATTACTTTCTTTTTTTGTAACGTTTTGTTTTTACTTGAATAGCTATACATCGAAGTCTAGTTATGTATGTTGTGGATCATAAGTATTGACAAATGCTGAGATTTGCATCAAGATTACTTATTATGTTTATTTTATAGAAAAACAACAGTTAATTTTCTACAGTCAAAAAATTAATAGAATATGTCTAATTATGCCAATGATTGTGTGATCGCTATCTAAATTTTTTTTCAAAAGTATGTAGTTAAAATTACGAGAAGCTGACAGCTAACTTACTATTTTTGAACATAAAATTAATATAATAAAAAAAACTAAAATCCATTACACCGTAAAATTGCAAATATTCATTGTAAGCATTGATACATAGGATAAAATGTCATTTGAAAAAGCATTTAAATGTGTAAGAAAAGAAAAATTTGAAAAATTCAACGCAAAGCTCTTCTTCAGATATATCATTTCCATTATAATAAATGATAAATGAATTGAAAAATGTAATTTTTGAAATCTTACAAACAATCAGTAACAAAAAAGTCTCGAATTTTGTCAACTATTGGAAAAGACTGGTATGCTTTTTCTCTTGATAATTGGTATGTGTAAACAAGATCGATCTTCGTTCTTCCGGTAAAATATTTTTAAAAAGAGAAATATTCTTATCCTTATAATGTATTACCAATCCTAATAATATATTATTTTATGCTTAATTGAATATGCTAATACATCGAATGTAATCAAATAACGTCCTAAGAGTTGATAGTAATCCATTTTATATCTTCGGTTTTTTTATATCAATGAAAAAATTCTAATAACATCCATTATAACGTACTAATTTTTATGAATGTTACATTTTAATGAATAAAAGGGTTAATAGTTTTCTAACCTAACTCTTGAAGTTAAAAATTAACAAAATAAAAAGTTAAGCTGACCAGTCTTGACATTGCAAATTAATTATTTCATAGGATAGTATCAAATGACTGATATTTATTTAACACAAAAAAGTTTTTATATTTTTCACTATTGTGTAACAATTCAAGAATGAGTTTGCATGGCAAACTTTGCATTACTTGGACATCTAAAATATTTTTTCATGAATTTGTGTTACAAGCGATGTCAAGATGTAAAAACATAACATCAAAACAAGATGTCACGTTATGAAAACAAATTTATAAAATAATACGTAAGGGAGATTAAAAGTTATTAATATCAACAAATTAGGGAAAGCAACGCTAAACACTTAATTTAATAAAACTGCTCACCTATCTCTATTCATTCCACCATTTGCATTTTTCATTTTCGTTTTATTCACATAAAAGTTCTACTTTAAATAATGCATGCGTATATTTTTTTCATTACATTTCAACCGAAAATATAGTCTTACAGCTCTTTTAAGCTCTTTTGCACATTTACTTTAAAATTTGTTGTATGATTTTTATTATAATCATAATTTTAAGTTTAAAAGTTTCTTTGAGTTTGCTTGGTAAAACTCAGGATTTTTCCCGGAATTATACATATCATGCGAGAAACGAGCACTCGATCTTTTTTTGTTCCAGTTTATGGATGGGCTCTCTTTGCTAGCCATCCACATTTGCAGTCATTAATTTTTAAATTAGTAAAGATAGACTAACGCTAGAACTCTTTATACTGTTTATTGATGATACACATATTTGATGTAAAAAAAAAATCATTTTTCTATATTGCTATCTTTAAAACCATCAAATAGCAATATAAATAATAATGTACTCTTTGTTTGTAAAGTAATTTTCTTGGTTTCAATTTTTTTTTTAAAGAAAATATCAAGTCGTAACATTTTATGATAATTAATAATTAAGATAAGATGGTTTTAAAGACTTCAATATGTTACATAGACTTTAAAAACATTGAAGAAAGGGAGACGAAATTTTTTAAAAAGTTTGATACGCTACAATGTACTGAACAGTTCCTTGCTTTAACCAATTTTTCATGAATCATGTAAAGTAAACAAACTTAATGAATGACGGTAAGGACTACAATGACTCGAAGTGCGAGCAATCACAGAATGTGATCATAGTTTTTAGTCGTGCGAATTTTGTGATTAGTCCTTTTTCAATTAAGTAAGATTGAAGAATGTTATACTTGTTCGAATCTTTAAATCTGACGATTTTTTCAGGTGAAAATGTTATTGTTGATTATCGTTTGATTTAAAGGGTGCCTCCATAGATTATTCTTGCGAAAGATCATCGTTCTATTAAATATAATTCATTTTAAACTTATACAAATTATGTGAATTGCAATAGATGTTGCAAAAAATAAAACAAAATAAAAAATTTTTCGTTAATTACTGATTGGGGTCTTTTCACAAAACAATATTTACTTTCGTGCAAGACATATTCAGTGGAGGATATTATTTTTATAAAAATGGATGGAAGTCAAGTTAAAAAGATGATAAGTAAATGCTATTCACGAATGGTCGCTATCGTTGGTGTAAGCGACTACGTCGATCTGCGTACTATGTTTAATTTTGTCATAAGTAGAAACGTATCGTAATTATTTTACGTATATAATTTTACCAAGAATGTACTTCTGGTGAGTTTTGTAAATAATAAGCGACTTGCATCGTGCGAAATATTTAAATAGTTTTTAATTGTAAATACATTAACGCAAAAATGCGATAACGTGATATATGGTAAATCAAGAATAAAATACTACGTAATTCCAGTTTTTGTTAAATTTTTTTCCTTTTTTCATCCAATACCCACTCTATTTGTTATAAATATTTGTTTAAAAATCTGCATTATTCTTGTCCCAATTTTTTTTTAAAATTATAGCTAGCTATTTAACAAAAGAAACTCAGAAGTGTCGTTGCTTGTTTGTTTTAAAATATTCAAAAGCTTTCTAACCTTATTGTTTTCAAGTTTGATTTATACACAAGTACTGAAGTAAATTGTATTACATTCAAAAAGATTTTAATTAAAATACTTTTTACCATTCTCATAGTATCAAAAAGATTTCGAGAATGAGTGGTCTTGAATAAATCAAAAAAGAGTCATCAAAATGTCAAATACGAGAAAGATCTAGCTTTACTCAATAAATTTTTTTTGTAAGTGAATGATTATTAAAAAAATTTTAAATAACAAATTAATTATACAGCATCATAAATAGGAAAATAAAAAAAAACGACTTTAATAAAACTCGTCGAGAGTCTAAAAATTACCGGAAATGGAGACTGCCGACTATAATCCCGTCGATCACAGATCCCCTGAGCAGCTGGCTACGTATGGTTGATTCACTAAACATTGAACACGCACCAGTTTTGTGTTGTAACTAGATATTAAATTTAAATTACAGAAGTTCTTTTGCCGTTTTCTTTCATTTAATAAAAGCTGCTGCTGGCAGTGGAGTTCTATTTTTGCCGTATGCATTCAAAAAGACGGGATATCTCGCTGCTATTCTCTGTAGTATTATCATTGGAACCGTGTGTATTCACACTGCAGTTCTAACGGTATGTATTAATGATGATTTTAAGCATTATATTATTAAAACTGTTTAGTTAATAACTATTTCAATGGAGAAAATTTAAAGATCATACTTTTAAGCATTAAACAAATATAAAATGGCGATACTTGAGTGTCTAATAACTTTAAGGATCCCACAAAAAAATTTGAAAAATCTAATCTCAGAAAATTTTAAGAGGACTTTTACAGCCGTTGGGTAGAATCAGGAATATCAAATTTTCATAATAACTTTGAAGACAGTCTTAACTTCAGAATACTATTCAATAAGGATTGCAACTTGAATCGATTTCTAAAGATTTTCAAGTTCTCGGATAGTTAGAAGCATATGTTTTTTGACTGTTGATAACTTAAAGGACTCCCTAATTGCTTTTCACTCCAATGAAAGATTTTGTTGTTGCACTGATTATTCCCGCCCCGACAATCCAAACTGTCTATTTCAGATACGCTGCAGTCAGATTTTGTGCAAGCGAAGCCGCGTCCCTGCGTTGAGTCTCGCCCAAACAGCCGAGGCTTCGTTCAAACACGGGCCCCAAGTTTTACACAAGTTCGCCCGTGCCTTTGGCATTGCAACAAATATCTTGGTCTGTGGTGTGCAGGTCCAGACCACTATCGTTTACATATTGTACGTGAGCTCATCGTTTAAACAGGTGAGATATCAACGACGAGAAGAAATATTTATTGTTGATCAATATTTAGTGAGATTCAATTCCAGATTTTACTTTAAAACCTACAACAACTTTTATCTGCCCTCAAACATTTTTTTACTATTTTTACGTTCTTACGATTTCACAGATCGAGACACTTTCAAAACAAAGTTTTTTTATAATATAGAATTTGTTAAGAAGTGAAACCAGTTTTTGCCAAAAATTTTTCCTTCTTAAATTAAAGATAAAACATAGAATTTTTGTAACAAATTATAAAAAAATTTGTTGATGGCTTAAATATAAGACAGCTTTTTGCTGAATAAAATTATCACTAAATTAGCTTTAGAGATGGTCTTCGTTCTTGACCAAAAAGGGCTTCCTTTGGCATGAGATCCATTAGCAGTAACTTATATGTAATATTAGCATGGAAAGGCACGCAATTCCATACTGGGGAATTATAGACAATTTTCAACCGCAAAAAAATCACTACGGATTTTTTCGGTCTTCAAATTTTGGGAACTCTAAAATTACTTTGTAAGACTCCAAAATCGATTAGATGTAATTTAGATCTATGGATGGAGATATTAAAAAAAAAGTGTGGTATATATAAAATGCATAATAATTTATCATCCTTTTACGTGATTTCTTTACTCTTCCAGTGGCAAGCATTTGTTAATTTTTTTCATACTCCAAACAAAATGTTGAGACCATCATTTACAAAAAAATTCTATTTTCTTTCTAAGAATTCTAAAGTTTTTATAACTAACTTGAGAATTGAAAAAATTTTCGGAAGTAATACAGATAAATAATATATGACGAAGTAATAGAATTCTAGTTTATTAAAACTTAAATATGATTTTTATTTAAAGCATAGGTTGATTTTCAAATGCCTAGTTTTGTGGATTGTGGAGTGCAAATCTTTGTTTTACACTATAAAGAAGCAAGATACAGCCTGAAAAGAAATAAAAATTCGATTCCAGTAATAACGAGCACTCTAGTAAAGAAAAAATGTGTTATACAATTATTGCTAAAAAGGAATTTTAATCAAAGCATCTTAAAGATTCTCAAAATGTCAAGAAAAGTTACAAAACTCTTTGATTTATAGTTTCATAAAATAATCTTGCGATCTTCATTACGTGATGTAACGTACAACGCACCATTAATGATTATTTGTGTCAAACTGAGAAAAACACGAAGTTCTTAAAAAAAGATTTCTCGAGATTTATTTATACCTTGTTAGAAATAGACATGCCACTCAACTGAAAAATTTCGATGCCAAATATCGCGTGCTGTTATTAGAGGTGAGTAAGTATAAACGTGGATGTTTCCCAGATCCAAGCATCGTAGGGAAAATCTATAAATTCGTTGTGGTTTTTTTCCTCTAGAATTTTTCTCTAAGAATCCGTTGCTTCATCGGCTTGACCCGAGCATCTCGCTCTCACAATGGAGATCTCAGAGGAAAAACTTTGTACGTTAGAAAAAATACGAAGGTTGTAAATACCGTAGAAAGTGTGCACATAAATTTATAGAAAAAGGCTTTCCGAATTCCACGTGACAATGTACAATATCGTTTTCACGCGTCAGAACAGGCTTCGTGCCCAGCAAATGTTACACGATCGTCGATAGCATTTATTTTTCATTCCACATCGAAAAACGAGCGAAAACTTATAGGAACGAAGAGAAGGATCGTTTTTCTCGCATTTTATATCATTACGTGAACTGCCAGTGCAACAAAGTAGGGAACTTTCTTTTCGTAATTGCATGCGAGATGGATCTCTGAGGGGTTATATAACACAGTCACTCTCGTACCGTGCCGAGTAAATTTTCTATTATCTCGGCTCCACATCGAAGCATGCCCTTGCTCGATATCCTGCTAACAAATTTCTTTTTACATACCTCCCCCCCCTATTCGCGTGGAAAGTATTTTTTCCCCGCGATACCTTTTATACGCTCAATTTTTCGGCATTCGGAAAATATGTCTATGTATCTTTCCTTGTAAAAAATTTCGCGAGAGAACGAATGTACGACGTAAAATAAGATGCTCTGTATAGAAAATTATCGCATTTTTTGTACAGCAAATCATCGGCAAAAATTTATTACGTTCAGCGCTTTGTTTATTTTTTTCTTTTGAAGCGTTTTTTAATACAATAGTACCTAATTTATAAGAAGATACGTGAAAGCGATTACGAGGCATACTCAGGATTATTTATAAAAAATACAATTCAATCGAGTCTACCACTCTCACAAGAGTCGATTCCACACACATAAATTCATTCAATTTAAAACCTTTAAGTACGCCAACCAACCATCGGACACCTTCCTTTCTCTTATTTTTTTTTCTTGGATAATTATGGCATTACGTAATTTTCGTACTAATAATTTAAAAAAAAAAAATCACGAACAATGAATTCCCAACAAAATATCTTACGTGCGCGTGTATCTTGTACTTTCAAACCCACAATTATCATCTGTCGGTGCAGGCTACTTCTCGCACACAATTCTATTCAAACAAGTCAACTACCTTTTGTCCTTAAAGTCCGTCTCGGTTCGCGTCTCTAATTGTTCGGATCCAACAATAGCGCTATACTGTAATGCCGAGTGTATTATAATAACATACATTCAAAGAATATAGTTAAAACCATTGGTTTTTATGTAATATATAACAGTAGCACCAATAAACGTATTGAAACGACCAAATTTGTACAGTTCATCAAGTCTAATAAATTTAACAATTTTTTTAATGCATTACACATGGAGGTTGAAATGTTAAATTTGTGACCAAATTTTTTTCATCATCCATTATGCACTAATTTTATTATTAAAAGTGTACGATTCAACAGAATTACAGAATACATGTGTATATTTCAATGATTTATGAATTGAATTATTTCTCAAATTTTTATTAACATATCTGTAACTCCTTATGCAAAAACACAAAAGAATTTGAGTAACGAAATTAAATTTGTATTGTAAAGACTCTCTTTTAGCAACATTATCTTTCAAGATAGCAAAAAACTTATTACCGCAAGTATTTAAACATAATTTACATTGCGGAGAGAAAGTTAAAGGCTCGCTCTACGCGCGAGAACTCGATCCAACTACGCGACCTGTGTGCTTAATTACAATGTTCCTGTATTATGGCGAAGGCCACACGCACAACGTCGTACCTTACGCCCTCGGGTGAATGCGTATAGATGCGATAATAAATTCACACAGTTGAAAAAGGTGACGAATGAGAGTGAAATTTTTTTTTTGTAGGTGTGGCACGCTCATCATTTTGACAGGTCTCTGTGTGTTTAAGATTAAAGAGGGAGATTGACGTTGAAATTTTTTTTTTTTTTTTAATCTCATAACAATCATTGGGCGTTGAATTGCTAATGTGTATTTTATCGTTGCTGACTTTGAAATATTTTCCAAACAAACATTTTGAAAAATAAACATTAGGCCATTGATATTTTTTATACGTGTAGAACAATGTCGATAAAAAATAGTAACCTTAAGTGATGATTTCATTTCATTATTTTATTTATTTCACCGAAATCATCAATAATTATCTTGAAAATTAGGAGACAATTAACTGTGCTTAAATCTGTGTGGGAAAATAAAACTTTTAATTTTTAATGTACCTCCACTAACTAAATTTTATTAAAACGAGTAACTATTATTTAGTAATGAGTAGATTACAGGATAAACATGCCACGAAGCCTACGAAGTGTAATAAATTAGTAAAATATTTTAGTAGAAGACATACAATTTTTTTACAGTCTATTTTTTATTAATTTTTTCAATTCCCGCATTAACCGTTCTATTAGTGTTACACTTTCATTAGTGCATATTCCCAGTAATTAATAATAACTTACCATTAACAGTTACGATTAATTGACCTTATGGCGGACACTGTAGTTTCTAAAAGGTCAACTAATTTATATGTCGATGATACAAGATCATAAATCTTCCCGCTAACCTTTGTTTTCCAACAGCGTAATGCGTAAAAGCAAGGATATCTTGATCGTATCAAAACCTTGTCCAGTTATTATGCTTGCCTCGTCAGTGCCACGAAGAAATTTCACAGGAAAAAAAATACGTTGATCGTTACTGGCAAAATTACAAGAAATACGCATGTAACGATGTCAAACAACAGTAGAACATGTGCGAGTTTCACAGCATATTTTATTGCAAAATAATACAACAGAGAAAAAACATGCCAATCGTGCATTCATGCATTTTCATAAATATAAATCAACCAATTTCGATTTTCATAGAAGCCAGCTCATCATGTTCACAAATTGCCATCGCAAATTCTTAGCAACAAAAACTTGTCATTTAAATAATAAATGTCTTTCATTCCCTTCTAGGTTGTAGAATATTTCACCGACTGGGGCCAGGATATCCGGATCTACATAGTCGTTTTCCTTCCCTTCTTCTGCCTTCTGGCTGTTGCTCCAAACTTCAGCTTCCTGACCCCCTTCTCCGTGTGCGGCACCATTTGCCTCGTCTTTGGCCTGCTGGTCTCCTTCGGCTACTTCCTGAGCGATTTTCCGTCACCCTCCCGTCTGCCAGCTTTTACCGGGTTCGAGCAGCTCGGCGTTTTTTGTGCCGTCTTTACATTCTCGGTGTACAACATGTCAATGTTGATGCCCCTGGAGAATACGATGCGCGAGCCTCACACCATGGCTGTACTGCTGGCCGCTGGTATGGTGATCAACGTGATTGTCTACGTACTCTTCGGATTTTTGGGTTTCAACAGATACGAGGACTCCTGCGACACGATTATTAAAAATCTGCCGCTCGACAAGATGTAAGTTTTTGCAGTCATTGCGTCAGACTTCTTTTTTCGCGAGACTTTTTTTTTTATATCTTATGACTAACAGTGTCGGTGACATTTTTAAAGCGTGAAATTGATTTGAAGTGACGAGCTGTTTCGTAATGAGGTTCTGATATTTGAAATGGATTGAGAGCATGTTGTTTGTGTCAAATATCTTATTCTATGTATACTGTTCTCAAGGACATGAAAAAAAGTTACGCAACTTTGTAACAAAAAATTATTATTGTATCTTGTCGTTACAACCATGGTTAAAATGATTATTTCTTAGGGTTTTTTTTTCGTTTTTGGACGTTTAATGCACCTTTAGTAAGAAAAATAGAATTTGCAACAGAAGAGGTACCTCGGGCCTAGTGCTTGTCTTGATGACAAGCGTCGCTAGGTACGAAAACTACACTATAATTTATTGTTTAATAAAAATACGGTTTATAATTCACTTTACAATCACGTAAATTCCAATGAAACGCGGGCTTGATCAGAAAATTAGAATTATTTCAATATTTAATAATACATTAGATAAAGCAAAAGGTTACAACTTTTGCTCTTTTAAAACCTGTTATTTAAATTACACTTATGCGTGGTAAAGAGCAGCACCTATTTAATTAAAACAATGTCGAATGACTAAGTGTAGCTCTAATTTACGTCATGTGACGGATAATTGAGACCAATTGTAAAATACACGCATCTGCTCTCAATCACGGAATTTTTCTCAAGAATCAGTATACAATGTTTGAAACTCCGACTCTTTGTTTCCACGCGCATTATGTTTTACAATAAGCCTGAAAAGTAATAGTAAATGGTTCAGTCTTATCTCTTTTTAATCCCACCCTAGAACACTAACCTTCACATGCATTAATATCAGTTACTGATAATTGTCAACATATATCAGTTTTTCTCTGAGGATTACAATTTTTACATGAAAACATCTTATAAATTCACATTCTATAAATTTAGAGACTAATACTCCTTTTTCTGAAATATAAATAAGATGAGTTTGTTACAGCATATCTGAAATCCTTAATCTTTTAGTTTGAAAAAATTCTTTTAGGAAAACATTAGTTCTTATCAGTTTTTAATCAATTGAAAATTCTTATTTTAAGTGTAGCATGATATAAGATGCCTATTCACAACCCAGGAAAATAGTGTTAATTAAAAATTATTTGTTTTGAACTTTTTTTTTCATTATCAAAAATATGGTCTCATCTTTCTTAGTTTTTTAAAACGTCAACTAATAGTAAAGCTAAGCAGTTTACAATCATAATTTTTATGTTTTTGATTAAGGTAACATATATGTTTGGAGGAATCATGTGTATTAATGATTTAGAAGAAAGAAAAATTTTTTTGGCCTCCGTATCAAATTAAATGAATACGCCAGGGTTTTCTATTACCTATTCTGGCCTCGTTTTTCTTGAACTCTCGAGTACTTAGCATATAAGCTCAGTCAAGGATTTTAATTACTAACTTCCGTTTCCCTTTCTATTTTTCGACCTTGTATAAAGACATTTTAAGTATCATTCATTCAACTAGTATGCTGCACTTAAAAGTTATTCTCATTTTATGAATTTTTTATTTTTTGAAAAAAAAAGTTATTTTTAGTTGAAAGTTAATAGCTAAGTTTCATATTTTAAGGACCAGAATCAATGAAAATATGTGAAATTTTTAGTCCTGCACAGATAGTTAAAGTTGTCGTTCCTCTTTCTGTGATGTTCACGTTTGGACTTCAATATTTTGTTCTCGCCGAAGTTGTATGGCCGTGGCTAGCAGCATGGATTGGTGACAAAGTCGCTTACAAAATTGGTTTCCGTATAGGTGGAGTCGTTATATGTGGTAATTAAATTATTATTTGGCATGATACAATAAATATTCGTATCAATGATTTTGTACAAAAACTTTTGACTCTACTAAAGGAAGAGATACATCGAAAAGTCTATGCAACGTGACATTAATTCAACCTCTTTTCGATGTAGTTTAATGGAAATAATAACCTAAGATTATATGAATTTCGATGTATCTAACAAAATCGTTTACTCGGATAGAACCTGTAAATATAATTTAAAATACGCTAAAAACACTCTGGAGTATATGAAAATAAAGTCTTGAATCAAACAGTATATAAATATTCAAGTTATCTGATAATTTATAATAACTTGAAAATATATAATCATTGATGATTCCATGAGCGTTAATAGCATAAAATAATTCATATGATACTTGCATGAAAAAGCCTAGTTGTAAAAACAATATGACACATTCATAAGATAAAATTAATTTTTTTTCTTGCTATACAAAGCGTTGTTTGGTATTATTTTGCCGCACATGGCACCGGTGTTGTCGCTATTCTCTGCGGTTGGTACGACTACGCTGATGGTACTGTTTCCTGTGGTGATTGAGACTTCGACAAAATGGAATGAGCCAGAAAATCTTAAGCGCAACTACATGTTGATGAAAAATTTGCTGATTACTATCATTTGGATCTTAACTTTGGTGATGAATTGTTCTTTCCTTTAATATTTTTAGTACATTTTATTCAGTACCTTCAAAACTTTTCATTTTCAATGGAATTCTTGATTTTAACGACATTTTTATCATTCACGCTTGCAATATAAAATACTAGTTAGACGGTATGTTTCTAATGACACTAGAATAACTAATTTCATGGTTTTTTCGTTAAGTTTTTATTTTACTTAACAGCCCTAAAGTCATTGAAATTAGCAATACCTAAAACATTCTATAGCCTATCAGTAGGTAGATAAATCAAGTTTTTTGTACAACATTGAAACTACATCACAATAAGATTTCAAAATTCAATTTTTCATAGTTCTTTCAGTCATCTGCAGTTGAATGAAACAATTATTTAATCAAAAAACTTGTACAAAGAAGAGAGTCAAAAATTAAAGAAATATTATAGATTCTATATTTTTAAGAACATTTGCTGAGAAAGTTGAGCGAACTAAGCAGCAACAGAATTCCATTTATTCTTATCTGTTTGCAGATTTTTGGAGTCCGAGAGAGCATACTGGACATAAAGCACGAGATGCAAGCAACTAAATCTACAGAGCCGGAAGTGTGCCAGTGACCGATTGCATCACCTAGCCAAGCGCCATACATCTCAAATTGTTTTGTTCATTGAAAAAAGAAACACGCGACCGCGACTCTGCCGTAAAATAATGTCTTTCCAAGCCAGAACTTTCTCTGTGACATTATCCAAAAACTTTCCACCGAATAATACTTTAGGAGAAGCAGTGGGAGAAAGAACAGTTCCTTTGCGCACTAAAAACCGTCGGGACGAAATAATGTGATTTGACGGAATGAAAATGCTTCATAGCTAAAAGTACCCCGCACCTTGCATGCAGAGAACGAAAAAGCCCCTATGCGTAATTTTTTTTGTGAAACGAGCGAGAGATGCGAGCGGACGAAATTAAGACTTTTAATAATATTTAGACTAGCGGGTATATTGGGTTTCACCGATTGCAAGAATGGGAAGGAAAAAGATTAGGTTTCGGGTCTATGTGTCACGTAATCGGCAGAATCAAAGGAGAAATCATTTGCGCATTTTGAGTTGTTTTATTCCATGGCACAATTGTTTTATTCTCGTTGTTAAGAGAAATTTTATGAATTTTGTAAAAAATATAGTTATCTAATTTACTTGGTAACTTAAATTGAGTTTCGTAATATTTTAACAAATAAAGCATTTACTTACTAATATTACAGTGGTTTGAGTGATTGGTGAGAATTTTTATTTCAGCAGAACGTGTGTATATAGACATATTGTTATATAATGGTGGTAACGTTATTACTCACATACAATACTTTAAAAATATACGTATCTCTCAATGTTCTAAGCAAATTAATAAGTTAATTCTTTCAAAATTATTTTTTTCAACACTGATTGAATTTACAAGTACTACAACCCTTTGAGTAAGAAAAATCTGGTTTTTCGTAAAAGATGACTGTAATCTTTTTCTTCTTCTAATTTTAAAGCGACATTTCAGAATTGTTCTTAGATAACACAAGGAGAAATTTTTTTCTTATGTCATTCGAAATCCTGAAAGATCAAGGTGATTATAAAGGTCATGAAATAATTTTTATTCAAGGTCAAGTGTCATACAGAAGCATTAAAAAATTATTAAAATTACTGGTAAAAAGACATGACTTTAAATCTCTCTACCATCCAACCTACATAAAATAACAATATACCTAGAAACAGTATCATGACAATCGACAGCACGTGTTGTGCATTAAACGCATTATATTACGTCTACGTTCAATAGAAAAAAAAAAAATTCCTTGTTTAAATGTTGTGGTTTTTCCTTTTTCCAAATCATTCGGCAGACATCCAAAGACTCTGTACTGCAAATGAAATAATTTTAAATTAAAAATGGAAATTTAATTCATTCAACGGTTCACCGTAATGTAGTGCAATGTAATGTAATGCAAGCTGGGCCCAGTCCAAAATTATATGGAGCCTCACAGAAATTTTAGTACGTCACGCATTGCAGTTGGTTTGAAGAATCTTTTGTACAAGAATGTAATGCGTCAGCCTCGCGAAACGAGAGAGAAAGGCATAAAGACACCCGATATACCTACGCTTCGCCCGCATAGCATGTCTGTAACTTACGTACGTATTTTAAGAGAGACCGCGTGGTGGTGTTCGACCTAGGAGCCGAGATCGAGAGTGAAAGGAAGCGCGTGTGATTGTATTGGTAAAGGTGTATATAAATCTACGTTTCAGAGGGAAAGAAAAAAAGAGAGAGGAAAAGATACAGAAAGGACAATGAGAAAATCGGTAGTGCAGTGCTGCGAGCATGTGCTGGTTCTGACCAAGCACGTGCTCTCTTGTGTATTTCTCTTCGAATCTCTGCATACTTTCGATTTATTATATCGACCGTTGGATATGCGCAGCAGTATATAAAGGGAAAGAGGTCCCAAAAGTAGAACCTAGCAGCATCAGTTGTGTACCACTCACATGAGTGTATTTTCGAGTTATGGAAAATTTTGTCTGAAGAAGCCCGTCTCGAATTGTGCATTCCACACTTCATTACCTAAATTGGCCTGTAACAAGGCATGATATTTTTTTGGTTGAGCACTGCAAGGTGTCTATCGACCTCTCACGAGCTAGTTCATAAGAATTCTGATGCTATGACAGCGTATCAAAAACTTATTCGTACCAATAGTCAATTCGTGTAGTCTTGTACACTGGCGCAGTTTATTAGATACCAAAATAAATGTGTTGACTTAAGTGCCGGTTGCGTTTGAAACGCGAATGTGCTGAGCCAGTCGATAGTGGAAAAAGATAAATACTTAATAGCAGAACAAAGCCGCCAGTTTATTGTCGTATGAATATTTCCGTTTTGCTAGTCAAACATACTTTATCTAACAACGCATTCCTGGTATATATAAAATTTTTTTTTAAAATAGTGTCAGCTTTAGAAGTTTGAAAAAAGTAACGTCATATAAAAAAAAAAAAAACAATAAATATTCGTATCAATGATTTTGTACAAGAAACTATTATTTAGTAATGAGTAGATTACAGGATAAACATGCCACGAAGCCTACGAAGTGTAATAAATTAGTAAAATATTTTAGTAGAAGACATACAATTTTTTTACAGTCTATTTTTTATTAATTTTTTCAATTCCCGCATTAANCATTTTATCTTTTTCGAATTTTTTCTCATGCAACGTAACGCACATGTCTATTTCGTAATTACCACACAAAACAAAAACAAACATAAGAAAAAAAAAAAAAAAAAAAAAAAAAAAAAAAAACTGATAAGAAAAGGAGTGTTTTCTATTCAAAAGTTTTTCCTGTAAAATTACCGACACTAAACGTAAAATAAATTTATTTTAAAAACTTAAATTAGCAAAACTGTTAGTAAACTAATCAATTGTATTGGTTATTTACTCAACGTTAATGCCAGACTTAATTTTTATACGCAAAGTAATTTATATAGAAATAAGAATCCAAATACCAATTCATTTATATAAGTGTTAATATTCTTAATACAATATCTATCTGCAGTGAAGTAACTTCACAATAACCTTGACATACTTGAAAGAATACTTGGGAACTAAAAAAAACCATAGTAATCATAAACTTATAAAACAAGTTAAAAAGTGAAATAGAGCATGAATATTCCCATCTTCTTACCACGGATTTCTTTTTCAATTATAATTTAATGCATAATGTTAACCATAACTTTAAAGATAATTGCTATAATTAATAACTGCTATTAAGTTGATGATCTCGTCAATTGAAAGTGTTGGTGGTATAACTATTGGAATTACCATTGTACTGGGTCGTAAGAAAAACTGAAAAGTGACGATACTAACCAATTTCTACTTATAACCCCAACAATTAAAATCAATAGGGCCACTTGTGACCAATCATCTTTTATTCGAATACTAAGCACATATTTTTCGTGTAACAATTGAAAAGTTCAAGTCAATTAATTCGTGTTCATTAAAACGGCCAAGTAATGCGTTTTAGATAAAGCCAAGTACGCGTAAGTCAAGAAGAATTCAATTAAGATAAACCGGACGAATATAATATTTTCAAATAAGCTAAATGTAAACGAAGTTTCAACCAATGCCTCGTTAATTATTACTTTTAGCTGTCGCAAGCGCTTGGAGGGAAATTTTCAAATAAGCTTATTCCTATTCTCAAATTTTTAAAGAAATAAATCGGATGAAACTCGTTGTCTTATCTTACGTAATGATTTTGAATCGTCGGAGTGAAGATGACCAACCAACAAACCCGTTCAAAATACTTGAATGGAAATCAACCAAAAAAACTTTACGATCGAGGCATCTAAAAAAAGCATTCATTTCTTCATTAAACTCTCCAGATATTAAGCCCCGAGGCTGTACGTGTACTCGCCTACGATTATACTTTGACCACAGATGCGAACCTTGACTGTCGATATTTAATGGCAAAAGCGCAGGAGTAAAAATTTTATTCATAAAGAAAACGAATTTATTTTGTATATTTTCAGTCGATCAATGACTGATTTTGGATCACTCTCAATCTCATTGTATTTTTTGTTTTGTTATTATTATGTCTTTAATCAATCATTGATACAAGTTAATGACTAATAATGTAAGTAATTCGAGTCCATTTAAATTATCTTTACTAAGATGATTTACAGATCACTGGTCATACAGATAAGGCTTGGCGTCGGCGATCAAATAATATACTGTTACGATATCATATTTGACTTTTTCAGGTATTGTATCTTTCATTCTATATCCTTGGTGCCTCTCTTTATAAATAATATGTTTTAACAAAAGTTAAATGTGACTTCGTTTTTTATAAAGCTCAAGATACCAGATCAACTTCCGCTAGTTATTTCCCTATTTAAAAGTGATGAACACTCGGACACTAAACATCGATTTTTTTCACGCCAGAATAGATAAAAACGGATAAAAATGTATCATTGGTTTTGCTGTAAATTTTATGTAAGAGGAAAAATATTTTTAAAATGTCGAAAAAAGACCATTTTAACGAGTTACATTCTAGATACATTACACGGTATGAAATTTAATTAGAAACTTATATAAACCCACACAAATACTTCGTTAACTTGATTTTTGCAAACGATCATCGAAACATCCGTGGATTACTTATATAATCCCTGCGTGTCACATAGTGATACGATAACAAACAAAAAATTTCGGGAAAGTACAGCAATAACGAATGCCTCGAGCCCAATTATGGAATATCATTGCGATTTTAGTGATAAGACAAAAATGTAATGTGCGTGCATACACATTGGCTGCAGAACCAACAAAAGAGACAGAAGCTAAAGTGACGTAGGTGCACGTGCGAGTGCGTACATACTATCAACTGACCCCTTGGAGTCCCCACCAAGAATCGAGTAGCGAGTACGAGGGCACGTGGTGGCCCCCAGCTAAAACGAGAGTGTGGAGACTTGAACACTGTACGTGAGGAACCTACTAGCATACCTGCTCGCATAACAGAGAGAACGAGATCGAGTGAGATAAGGAAAAAGAAAGAGGGGGAGAAATATCGTGGAAATATATGTACAGTAAGCACAGGCAGCTGAGATAGACACCTATGACATACCTACTAAAAAACAGAGTCTGGGGGCATGCTATATGTATATTTTATGGGATCAGTGGGAATGGCTCAGCTTGGCTAGTGCAGCGTGTGCCAAGCGAGTGGGTCCCCGAATAGAGTATACAGTCGGACTACTCCTTTTAGAAGAAACCCCACGAGTGGCTGCCACCGCCAACTCACCTCAGGCTCCACTCTACTCGCTGTCCCGTGTGTATGTGTGTATACATATAATACATTGAAAAACGCGAGGAGAGGCTCATTCGGCACTAAAAGACCGTCAGCGGCGCACATCGTTCGCGGAGTGCCGTCACTCGTCGATCGATTTTCTTTCTCTCATCGAATGTAGAGTAACTAGTTTTCTAAACCCTTTTTTTTTTATTTTTTATTTCTTTGATTTCAATCGTTGCCACCTGAATAACAATTCATACAGACCTGGTATCATAGTCGGTGCATCGATCGAATAAGTTGACTATTTTTTCGGAAAAGCTGTATTTTTTATAAATTACAAAAAAAGTGTAAAAGTGTATTTCAAGCCTGGTTGGCGAAGGACATGCCAAAAAAGTTTGACATAAATTTGGAAAAATTGTGAACGGATTGCCTCCTTAACTGTCCACCCAGCTACACTTGTGACACTTGGTGAGTAGTCAAAAGTTGCGTTTTTTAAAGCAGTTCGGATGAGTGTTACTTACTTGTAACGAGGTAATCCCAGAATGTAAGAGAAAAAGGGGAGATGTAGTTATAAAAGAGAAGCAATGATAAAAGTGAAACTGAAAATCGCTCGCGCACACGGCGCGGAATATGCAATAGCGAACCGTCGAGCATCAGTGTGCTGCTAAAGAGGTGGTGTATTCTCTCTCAACAGATGCTCTTATTGAATTATAGATAATTATAGCAGTCTTCTACCATTATTATTATTGTTCGTACGTGGGTGTGTGATACGAAGAGCACGAGAAAAAACTGAGATGCAAGTAGGTTTTCCTTGGTTTTTCTCTGCTCGATTGCTTCCGTGTCGTGATTGTTATTAGCTGTGTTAAAAAAAATTTTTTTTCAATACATATATTAAGTAGTTTTACAAGAACCAAGTTGAACATAAAAATAAATAACAGAGTGGAAAAAACGCTCGTTTCAAGTGTGCGCTGATCTTAGGCACCGATTGAATTTTACTGAGAGCAGAACCTTGAGGGTCCTTTTTTTCTGATGCTACTATGAATAATGGGGAATACGTTCGAATTTTTTTGCTTCCGTCGTACTTATGTTTAATTTTATGCGTGATTCATGAAATAATTAGTTTTTTTTTTAAATAAGACGATACGTCACATTGACACTATTACGTAAATGTTCAATACACATGTTAGTCTCGATAAAATTATGGGTCTTCGGGTAAATGGTACTGATTTATATAATGACTCCTACATATTTAGCGGTGTATTGTTCAAAAATGCATCTCAGGGCGCAAAAGTGTATTATTCTGATATTCTAAAACATACCAGCAATAAACTACGAACATTTTTTTTTCGCAAGAGTTGCAACCATGCCACGATTTCTTGTAAAGCCATCATTGACGGCTAACAGATAAGAAAAGAGGAAAATCCAACCGCAAGTCAACGACATCAGTGAGAAGCGTCGTAGCGCATTCGTAACCTTCTATCTCTAATCACACGAGAGAGCTACTCTTCGCTCGATCGAAATCTATGAATCACTTCAAGACCGTTATGTTGGTATGGGCATAAACGCGCTTATGTTGTGATGCACACACGTTTTATAGCTCAACAGTCTTGAGCACTATTGAATGGAGATCGGTATTCTTGCATGCCGTAACGGTTCGTTTGTTTACTATCGATCTTACGTCGCCACTTCGTTACTTCTTTTTTTTATAGTAATTGGCAATGGTTATCCCCATTTGTTACCCAATAAATCAGCAAGACCTTCGCACAAATGATCATTACCATGTCAAGTGTATTACTAGTCATTTGAATTATAAATAAAGTAAAATAATCACCCGTGGCGAAATTCAAATGAGTCGGCAGTGTGGATCTTTAGAGAAAACAAATTTAAATATGTTGGAAATAAAAAGTAGCGTGATACTTAAGCACAAGACTCACTGTCTACGCTGTCCTCACAATTTTCCTACATAACAGAGAGGGAGAGAAAAATCAAGATGCGCGATCAAGTCGGATTCCGCGAGTTTGATGATTTTCACTTCCATAAGCGCTGATGGTGATTGCTCCATCTTCGGGTCGAGACTGCCTGTCTGTGCGGACCGGTATCTTTCGCTTGCGCCACAGGCATCGTGGCGAATAGGCCGGTGAGCCACCATCCGATCTGGGTTATTCCGTGATGCTCGATTTTCCATCTTCTCTTTCTCGGGGGGTTTACTCTACTACTGGCACGTGTGCTGTGTTTTTTTTTTTTTTTTTTTTTTTCTTATGTTTGTTTTTGTTTTGTGTGGTAATTACGAAATAGACATGTGCGTTACGTTGCATGAGAAAAAATTCGAAAAAGATAAAATGAACGATTGGGAATAGTTTTATCATGTTTACATCATCTATTATTCAAATAACGGTGAAAAATGCAATCAAAAGTTGAGTAATTGTTTCAAGAGTGTTACAGGAATAAATTATCTGGAAGTCGGGATAGTGATTTAAACTGTCATACTCGGATGCGCGATAAAAACTGCTCTAAACAAAAAGTAAAAAAAAAAATTCAGTGTTTACTTTTCCGGATTTTATCATTCCTGAAACACCTGAGCACACAACGTAATTTATATTCAAACAGGATATGATCGAGACTCGATAAGATTTGTCAATAAAAATAAAAAGTTTAAATAGACGGAACAGAGCGCTAAAAAGTACGTCTTGATATTTTCAGAAAGCCAGATGTTGATAGGATTTCCCTAAAATTGAACAAAGTCACGCGATAGCAGGGGAGAAAGGGAGAAAGAATCAAGAAGCAAGTTATCTCTACAGAGTACGTAAACATTATCCGTTCGAGTCACGCGATACGGAGTCTTTTCACGAGATTGTCGCAATAACTCCCCGGGATTTAATAAATATATGCTCGACTTTCTTTAACTGTCAGCTTCAGCTAAGTCATCTTCATTGATTTTTGCTATCCACGGCGTCTGCTATGAAAAATATACGGGCCAGCAGTCACAGAGCTTAAGACAAAGAAGAGTTTCTCCTACTTATACAGTAACATAATCCGCAGTAAATGTCACTTTGCACTTCGGCCATTTTACTCTTCGTCTGCATAAGGTAGCTGTACTTAAGTTTGCACGTGCGTCTTGTATACGCTTACACGTTCAAGATGCACTCATTACACTCGAGAAAGCCTGACGAAACAATAGCGCGAGCACCTGAAAACACCGAAAATAATCGTATATATCGCCCAGATGCTAATTTTATGATCATTGCTCTGTTCTCTCCCTAACGAGAGACGATATTTATTGTTTCTACGAAATACGTATGCACCATTCGATTCACAGCTCCTTTTGCATATGCAAATATCAAGCAACGTGGGCGAGCGATATTTACAATGTTAAGTTTCACTTCAATGAGATCAAAAAAGTGGAGCACGTGGGGAGCAGATGCTAGTAAAGGATGAGGTAAAGGATGACACTAATCCGGCCATCGTTCGTCTTGAGTGGGTTTTTTTTTCCTTTGCCACCACAAGATGTCTACCTACGAAATTTTTTACTCGTTACGAAACATCAGAAAACTCCTCACCGTTTCTTACTTTATGTTCTCTTAATGCACTATTCCAAAAGGAATAGTTACGCATATTTTTCCAGTATGTAAAAGTGAAACGTCGGATCAATGCGAGAATAGCTTTGCAATAGTCTTCATACACAAACGTACGAGTGATTGGATGTTAATTTCAATGCTTTTTTGTACACATTCAAGAGGGATAGAAAATGTCGAACAGCGAGAGAGGAAGACATATTTATGTGTTAATGTATGTATGATTTATAGTCACGGGATGAGATCATATCAAGTCTAAAGTACTTTACAATTTATGTTTAAACAAATAAGATCAAACAATAAAAAATTATCGATCCTTAGTGTGGATAAATAATTATTAATAAGTATTGCGGCAAAATGTTATCGATATTTGTTTGCAACATAAACATCTTAACATCACTTATTTAAGGTGGATTGGTAAAAGCTATTGTATGTAATATAATATTATAAGAGAACTAGTAATTAGTAACGTAATTGTCGCATGTGCAATATATATTTTGAAATCAAATTTTTTCATTCGAATAATCATTCGAATAACAAAAGTGAGTAGTAAGAAGGTATAACTGCACGTGAATAACACCCTATGCTGAAAGAAATAGAGGGGGAGAGAGAGAGAAAGGAGTTTGTACAACGTAGAGTGCAAAAGAGAAACCGCGAAATATTCCAGTGGACGAGTACCTCTTGTTGATGAGACCTCTTTGCGGCCATTGCGCGCGAAAGCTTACGTAACACCCTCGGCGCTGTGCCTACTCGTGAAAAGCACGCATATATTATGTATGTTTTATTAACAACCCGAGCACATGTACACGCGCCGTGGAAGGCCGGCCAAGGATTATAGAACACCTGGCACTCTCTCTCTCTCTCTCTCTCTCTCTCTCTCTCATATGCGAAGGCCTTTGTTTATAAGAATTTCAATGATTACCAGGGAGAAAGAAGATGACAGATGAAAACGTGCGTGTCATGTAGCGTATTGTAATATGTCACGAATAAATCTTTAAAGAAGATGCACGAGCTCCTCTCTCCGAGAGGTGACTTCAAAGACTGTGCACCTGCGAAAAATCTACTATCTTTCGGGATCAGTGAAAACCCGATCGGGTCAGCGTTGTATACAATATATTTTTTCGATCAAGGTGACGCGCCGTGGGGTCCGATAGTGCGAGAATACCGATTTAAAATATACACGTTCACGCTAATCGACGTCGTTGAGGAATCTTCGTTCGAATAGTTCCTAATTTATTGAGATATTCGTCAATCAAAATTATCGGTTAGCTTAGCGAGGTATTGGCAATCGAGGACGGGACTGATCAGCGTGGAGCTTCGGCAATGATTAAAAAAATTCGTTTGAATCTATCTTGATTGAAATACTTATTTATTTTATTTTTATGAGTGTACTTAATGGAGGAAATATGTCACGCTGTATTCTGATCATATCACTTTATCACCCAGAAATTCATCATCAGCTCGCTACATGAGGAATTTATTACTTTTGAGATTATACTCGATGGCCAATCTACCGACGTAAAACGTAGGGTAAATCGCTTATACCGATATCAAAAGTATACAGTTAAATTATATTCGACTTAATAATAAATTCAGAAGAGCTTCATTTTTTAAATCGCTAAATCATTACATTTTTCCGTTGCTATATTAGGCAGGTATATCAAGATGAAAAGTAAGTGTGACATTATTCACTAAGAAACCAGAAGTGACAAAAGACAAATCGAAATACAAGTTTCATTCATTTTTTTCTATCCGATTATACGAAGAATTCATTACTATGTATGAATTGAGGATGGTTACTCAAACACATTGTGGAACTTCCTCATTTTATTAAATATATGGATGGATTAAATAAAATAATAATTCTGTACGCAAGAACGTGAAACAAGATCTTCGCGGGAAAGCTTTTGTGTGCTAATCGACTGCGATTTCCTTAATCATACAAAGAGTTACTTCATTTTTTTTTCTATTGTACTTCGAGTACCAGCGATGTCCTTTGTTCTTATCAGAAGTGATTGATGATTTATCTGTAAGTAAGATAGAATTATTATTGTAGAATGTCTATATTAAATCTTCATTTCGCAAGTAAATCATGCAAACAAGGCTGTTTTTCTTGTTATTTAAAACTCGTGGCACTTGACACAATAAGCACAACCAGTGGATTTGGGTCATTAGCACTCCTGTTATTCATGTTTTGTTTGATGTTTAATTCTTTCAACTCTGAAAGCCATAAAAGTAATTAATCTACGTATTAAATTGATCGCTAACAGCTGCAATGATCGCTCAAACAACCAGATCTCAAACAAATGCTAGCCAGCGTTTTCATTTACAAATTCAGTGGTGTCGGAGAGCCAAGGGGCTACATAGTTCGAGAAGTTTCCACTACGTCTTCCTTACGAGGGGTTGGTGGCACCAGTTAGGCGGAAATACTAGCATCGGGAACTCTACACTGCTATGGTCGTTCGCTTACAAGGCTAGCGCATGCGCTCGCACCGCCCTTAATAACAGTATACGTTGCACGTGAGATAATTTAAAGGATAATTTTAATACAAAAAGTGAAGTAATACATGCTCGGGTAAAATAACTTAGCCAAACCGGAAATCTGGTCCAAAAGAAATGACGAAGAGGCCATTCAGTTTATGGCGGATGTATAGGTAGAGAAAGTGAGAGAGAGGAAATAGAGCCCGGAAAATCAACAGCCACAGACGGCTCACCCTAGGTCAAAACAAGAGAGTTTGGCAGGCCGAAGGTAACGAGGGGGGGGGGCGCCGAACGAGCAGAGAGAGAGAACGAATGTCGTAGGGGTTGTGGAGATTCATGAATACGACGGGCAGTGAAGAAAAGTATATTCAGCCGAAGAAAACGTCGTAGACTATTTTAGAAGAGCATTTGGAGAAAATAGTACGAGCCGGCATAGGTAGGTAAATATTGAGTTTACGGATACTCAAGAAAATAGTGGATCTTAAATGAGTATTAATGGGGTGAGAAAAGTCTGAGTGAGTCAAGTATTTTTGGTGAAAAGTTTAAGTGATTAAGTGATGCCTCTATGAGCTCTATGAAGACGGAAGTCTAGTGCGGCAGGAGAGCCACGAGGCTAGTTGACTGGAGGATGCCTTAGCGACTGCATACATGTACTTTTTGCTCCTGGCTGTGACACGTGAATTTTCTTTTTACTGAAAAGTTGTGCTTTTTTCGTAAAATATTGCGCTAATTTCACCGTATAATAATTCTGAAAGCTTCACTTCGATTTCTGACAATACTATTGTGAGTAATATTCTTATTTTATTGTAAAAGTTGGAAAAACATTTTCAGTGTTCTCCTAAATGGAACCAATCCATTTCCTCCATTATTTCTTACGGCATCGCTATTCCAGCCTCTTAAAGTATTTGATTTTTTTTTTTTTTTCGTACTGTTGGTAGACAATCTTAAAGGTACTTGTGCATAATGTATGACCGTCATCAATGTATTAATCATTACTAATAGTATTGTTTAAAAAATATTGCCTAATTGAGGTCATTAGATCATTGATTATCGCTTTTCTAAAAATATATGCTGACTTAACTAGTAGGTAAAATTATATGTACACGTGACGCTGAAAAGATTAAGTACAGTCAACCAAGAATAAAAAAGGACACGTATTACCTAAATATAGTATACTTAAGCGTACATTCACTCGAGGAGGGTTAATGGCGCCACTAGCTCTCGTACACGAGGTCTCGATCGATACTGAAGGTACGACTACAATATTATTGCGGTTCCGTTCAATTAGTTATGTACTGAGCTGCATCGTAGCGTCTTAAGTAATTCGGACTAATTTAATAAATTAAATAGTAATAATGAATTATTTTCAGTGGCATCATTATTATTACTAATAATTCACACCACTGGTTGTGGTTTAAAGAGCTTAACATACATATTGTCGAATTCATTTATAGGAGAGACCCTGGAGAAACCCCTCGTACTTAAATGCACACCAGGTGCAAAGTATATTTTTCCTACTGAGGGTGCAGTAAAGATGAAGACGAGAAAAAGTATGCTTTTCAAATAAGTTATTAAGTACGAAAAGATTAATATTACTCTAACTTGAAACATCCAGCTGGAAATCATTTGTCCCAATTAAAATTCGTAACATTTTATACAAAACGTAAAATATAAATTCTGAACGAACTATTAAATTATCATGAGTTTTTTTTTTTAACTTTATGGCTAGTTAAGGGGGCTCATCACTAGGGTCTCTCACAAGAGAATTAATGATAGGGGCCATATTGGTTTAAAGTGGAAACGCGGTCACATTGGCCAATCTCCTTTCGAGGGTTCCATTCATACAACGTTTTTCAAACAAGATTTTTGTTTTTAAATATTTGTTTACTAAGTTTGACGTGTCCATATGTTGAAACAAGTATTATCTAAGAGTGCATGTTTAGTTAATCTTAAAACTGCTTTTCGATTTGGAAGTACATTACTAAGTATACTAGAAAACACATCAGAGAAATCGAACAAAATTATCAGGGTATTGTGAGTCAGCTCGTTACCATCATTTACGATACTACTTAATTTGTGATCATTAGTATATTATTATCGTTTTTATTATTATGAATATGTACTGTTGAAAATCACTTTTTCCAGTTAATATACTACATTTTAACATTTTTCAACGAAAAAACTTACATCCTCAATTGTCAGGTTGATAAACTATCTGAACTAGGAGCCATATATTTCTGCCCGCATATTACTACATCTATTTTCTTTCAAAGCTTTTAAAAAAAATTTTACAATTTTATGGTTTGTAGTATTAATTATAAAAACATTATAAATTATACGTTAACGATTGTAAGATTTAGTTTAGTTCTTGAATAACTATGAGATAGAGGAAGATAATGAATGAGCAATGTAAGAAACAAATAAAGATCGAGAAATTCGAAATACTTTTCCATATTCTGATGGTACTACAAAAAAAATCAAAATAATTAATCGATATGTAACTTACACTGTTAAGATGAATTCAAAAAATTAAGTATATTTTTTACTGTTATATGAGGATAAATTATGAAATTTAAACAGCCTTTACGTTATGATGAAATATTACAGTATGAAATATTGATAGAACGTTTGTAACAAAAAGTTAAAGACCAACATATATTCATTTTTAAATTCTGTGTCGCAGAAAGACGCTGCCAATTTTGATAAATTCAAAACAATTTTCGAATAATTCGTTAAACTAGTTGTTTCGATTTAGGTGTATTTTATGGTAAAAATTTTTCGAGCTAACCTGACAGAATCTTTTATTATATACATAGAAAACTTACGTTAGATACATTAATATCTTAGGTTTAATTATCAATATTTTGTTGTGTTCCATAAATATAAGATGTTTATGTCAAACTTTTAAGGCATTATTTTCTATCACTGTACATAGTATTCAGTTACAAATATGAGGATGTATACAAAAAAATAGCTTTAAACCATTTAAAGTTTTCTATTGTGTTTACCCTTTGATGTACTACTAATCATTTAAAGTGGCAAAGAGTTAAGTATATTCATTACGTTTATTCAGGCTCTACAGCTTATATTGACAGCACTTAACGCATATTACTGAGACTGAATAGAGACTAATATTTATCGACATGTTTACCTGCCCGCTTATCATAATTATTATTTTAAATGAACCATAAAGAATCACTACAGAACACTATGATTTTCTTCTCTTATTACTTGTAACCACTGCCCTTCTAAGAAAAATGCACTTAAAATTTTAAAAATGTTAACCCACTTACATTTGGTATATTACGTAGTTAATTACTAGTTAATAGGATATCAGCTTTACTCTTAGCGGCCAAAAATGTTAATAGATTATGAGTAAAACTTTTTTCTGCCTTGCGTACTTTTATTGAATGTTTGCTGCGCCATTGGTACAAAAAGCAGCGTTCAACACTGCTGCGTGTCCAAACAGGAAAGTGAAAGAGGCCCTTGGGTGCTGCTTCGGAACTTCTTTGAGACTATGACTTATCGTGACGGAGATCTTAAGCCATTAAATTATGGTTCTTAAAACAATACTATCCAATAAGTTAAAGCCTAGGGGAGTGAGAAATTTTTGAGGTAGTCAGCATTTATTTCAGTGTGCATACGAATATTCAAGCACACAGCCGGTGCTACTTAGACCACTCTTACGTTAGGTTTGAAATATGTTTCACAGTTACATAGTTGGTAAACAGATGGTGATATTATTTTCTCTTGTTGAAGTACAAGGTGGTTATCTAAAGTACTAGACCAAAAATTCGACCTTTAATTGAATGTAACTAAATTAGAAAATAAATTTTTTACATTGAATGTTTTATTGAAAATTTATTAATTTTAACTAGGACTAATCTCAGTCTGATGTACAATACTTCATTTTACTTTTGTTCTCATAAATATTTTGCTGATTGAAATTATCCTATAAAATATTTATTTCTGACCATCTTAATGGATTTTACGTATCTGCCTGAAACTATTAAAATCCAATTAAAATATTTTAATCTTTTTTTCTTAACTTCAAATGATTCATCTACTTTCTACAACTAATATTTTCAAATAGACAACTTCATATCGTTACTATTTTTTGTACGACAGTAAACTAAAATTTATATTTCAGGTTACTACAATGACCAAGAAAAAAGATGTGGAAGCTCCTGGAGAGCAGATGAGTGACTTTAGCAGCACGTAAGTATATTTTGAAATTTTTAGTGTCGTATTAAATATTGTACGATTTTTTTTCGTTCCTCTACCGAAGTGCAACTTTTTCCCTTGATTTCGAGAATGGAAATGCTACATAACCTCCTAAGTAAAAATCGTATTCAATATTTAATAGGAGAGTATTTTGGCAGTCTTTGCTTGGTAATTGCCTTCCTAGCCGAAGGTGAATATTCCTACAAGCAGTAAATGCGATGTTTTACTTGGAAGGAATGTGGTACTTTACTCTGTAAGAAAAAGTAGTTTCGGTAAAGGTACGAAAAAAAGTATTCCTTGCATTTGGAGCAGTATTTCATGTTACTTAAGAGGAATTTATTTTATGAAGTAAATGTTAGAACCTGAATTGGTTCTCTTAATTGCATCTCACTTAAATAACAAACCCAGTAAAATCATTTTTTAACGCAATATTTATTGATACGAAGATCAGAGACCGTATCAGACAGTAAATAAAAGAGAGATAATAAAAATTTGCAAAAAGTCTGCGTATGTTACCGTAAGTGATTATTTGTTCTATAGCGTTGCAATTTAAAAAAAAAAAACAGAAAATAATGTACACATCAAAAATCGTTGCTTACAAGTTTTCTCGAATCATGACGGAAATAACTTACATTTATTATTAAAAAAAATATTTATCACACAGACTTTTTGCTGTCATATAAAGCGATACATTTTTGAGTGGTAGATATTAATAGTCATTGTATTATGGGCTCAAAATGAAAAAATTTCGCTCAAAAGTCGGGGTTTGTATGTTTATGCTCAAGGTGCAAATGACGTTTTTCTTTCTGGGAGTGCAAAGTCGTACTTTGTGACCGTGGGTACACTTTGCACCCGCTAATCACCCTCTGCCCATTATTAAAGGGCGCAAAGTGAAGTCCTAGACTTTTGCACCCATTAAAAAATTTTTTTTTCATTTAATCGATGACGTTGTACTTCAACATTATTAAAAAATAAATTTTTATTTATCTGTTCATACAATCAGTGGTTTTTGGAAACATTTTAGAGACCGATTATTTTTATACTTGATAAATTGCTGTAATTCAACATTTATACTTCAATAAGAATTACTCGATTACTTAAACAACTGTTCTTGTTTCTATTTTGTTTTTTTCCTTTTTTTTACAGAACGAAAATTGCTCCAACGATTGAAAAGTACCTTGAAAAGGATGAACTTTACAACCCATTTGATCACAGGGATAAGAAGCATGCGACTTCGTAAGTATTTTCTACTTGTGATTTAGGAATTTACTAAATAACGACCGTTTCCTTTACAACATTTTTTATAACACTCATTTAAACGACAGTAAAATTTTTGTAAATAACGTTGTTTCATCGTGATTTGTTTCTGTCGATGATGTATAATGAATTAAAATTTTATCAACAGTCAAGATAAGATAACAAAGCGTGGTTCACGAGTTTAAAATAATGATTTACTTGTGAGCTTTAAGCCTTCATTGTGATAATCATTATTGAATTGTCGGTGAACGCTACTGTAGCTTTCACTTTTTCATGGGTCAATAAATAGTTCTCTCTTGGAATTAATGTATACATATAACTATAGTTAACTGGGAAATTCTTTCTTTCCACACATCTCAAATACGCGAATGCCCGCATTTCCTATCTGTCTTGTGCGAACTGCCGATTTACAAACATGCATATGTATATATATTTTCACGTGATCACAAATCAGAAAGGTAGAAGACCTTCAAAATTGCGCTTGTATATGTAAAATCCTTTCTCGTATGGTACAATTATACGTAAGACGTGCGAAGGATACCTCGCGTTTTTTTGGGAAAACTCGTAAATATTTAGCTCAAACAGCTCAAGACTAATTAAAATAGCTCTCGGTTTAGAATAGAAGAAAAATATTGCACACGTACGTATATGATGGCTGTATTGCTTTGACTCATGTATCTCTTCGTAAAAATAATAAATGTAATATTGTGCGGATGTACGATCTTAATGCTCAATTATCCGGCGTCCATGACCTTATTAATTATACTCGTTACCTCGTTTTGCAGTTTACGCGTGTTTCCGTTTGATCATTGATAAAAGAGAAAAAAAAGATGAACACAGTGTAACTTTAAATGTAAGGAGTTGATGGAAATGCCTTGAAAATGTACAACGTGTTTATCTGCAGTGAGGAGATAGAAATACTGGTACTTTTAATATTTTTTTCAATACTTTTTTACAAAATTAAATTTTAATAAAACTGGAGATAATTTTTAATAAAAAAAAAAATAGATACTAGATGTTATATTAAAATACTTTAGTATTAATAAATCAATAGATATTATTTTATTTGCAATTATTAGTGTAATTATAATTGCAAGTACAGTAAGTTTATTAGCGTTTTCATCAAAGTCTTTACAATTCATGATAAATACCATAAATCCGACAACTATGTGACTGGCGTGTTAAAAATTCACGTATGAGGTACACGAAAGCCAATGGAATTCTCTTACGGTTCCACAATGGACTCCCAAAACCTATTTGTGAAATTGTCTCATGCCTCTCAAGGCCTTCCGCACGAGCATTCACCAAAAAGCTGCAATTAATTTTTTTCCCTCCTATAAAAACAAAAAAAGAAAGCAACTTTCGTCACCCAGTCTTTTGTGCAATTTTTTTGTATCTCTTGTCGAAAAATATAAACAGGTCAAGCATTCGTCGAATGCTAGAACCTTTCACCTGTGCCTGTAAAGTCCTGCATCGAGATCAAGGTTGTATCCCCTTCAAAAACTCGACTATTTGTAAATGCCTTGTATGTGTGCTTGTTTGGACTGATTTATCTTAGCGGATAACATGCCGACGATCAATTTTTTATGCTCAATAAAATGCCCATTTGAGAAATTTTAAGTATATAACTGGTTTTTTTTAAGGAATTCTTTTAACAGGAAAGAATGGTTTATTTTTATTCAGTGAGATTTGTTTACAAAACCTAACAAGATTAAATTTGATGCCACGTGCCATTTTTTATTGTATAAATAGTATCAATCTACAAATATTGTATTGCAAATTCTAATTTTGTAAAAAAAAAAGAAGTGATTGACATTGTATCGAAACAAAGTGCGAGATAATATTGAAATACTAATCAGATATCAGTTTCTATACAAAAAGGCCAAGTTGATTATTTTCGTACAAAAAAATTTGCTCTCTCACAATCAATTAATACGTCAAATTTTTGAAAGCTATATTTCATTATCAGTGCGGAGGAGTGAAGCAAAAAATTAAATTTTATCCATCCACATGGCTTTTATCACTGAACAACAAAAGACCTGCACAAAATTTATCGAACAATCAGATATTGGCGTTTTATTGTATGTGTATGTGCGTTTTAATATGCGTTCCTGAAAGATTGTTTTTTTTTTTTTATTCAAGTCTCTTATATTATAATATAATGTTTGCTAAATTAAATAAAAATTGAGTCCTCTTTAAAAACAGCAGTTGCGTAAGTTTTAATAGTAACAAATATCGCACTTTCTAAAATCAAAATCAAGCTAACACTGCATTGTCGAAGAACTCACCTGACAACATGTATAAGACATTTGACAACAGATGTGCGTATCAGAAAAAAAAAAATTTTTTTTTTCGTTGCAGTGATACTGGTTCAGCAACGCATTTAATCAAGTCGTCATTGGGTACGGGTATTTTGGCCATGCCATTTGCCATACGAAACGGTGGTCTGCTAGTCGGCGGTATCGGTACGGTACTGATTGGCATCCTGTGCTCTCATTGTGTGCACATCCTCGTCAAGTCGTCGCACGTCCTCTGTCGTAAGACGAAAACGCCATCGATGAGTTATGCCGATACTGCCGCTGCTGCTTTCGAGTGTGGACCCAAACCGCTCAGAGAATACGGCAATTTTGCCAGGAACTTTGTTAATTGGGCGTTATGCGCAACTTACGTGGGTGGTTCGTGTGTTTACGTTGTGTTCATAGCTAAGGGCATCAAGAAGGTGAGTGTAATTCTCATAATAAATAAGAGAAGTTGTTGTGTAACTTTTTTTTATTAAANAAAAAAAAAAAAAAAAAAAAAAAAAAAAAAAAAAAAAAAAAAAAAAAAAATGATTTGAAATAACGTACATCTGACATTTTGAAAGAACGAATAAAAGAACTCTTATATGGGTCACAAAACAATTTGTTTCAAACCAAATCGTACTACCACTTTGACTATATCATCCAAGTTGACATTGTTTGATTATTCTCCAAACAAAAGTCGATAATCATTAAATTCTCTAAATAATAGAAAACTTAATCACTTTTCCTTTGAATTACAGTTGGGCGATTACTACAGTGAAGTTAACATCGACGAAAGGATGTACATGCTCTGCTTGATTCCAGCATTGATTCTTCTTGGGCAGATCCGGAATCTAAAGATCCTTGTGCCTTTCTCGGTCGTGGCCAATATGAGTCTGACTGTTGGTTTCGCGATTACACTGTACTTCATATTCAAAGACCTTCAACCGATTGAAAAATTACATTTATGGTCAAGCTGGCATCAGTTTCCAAAATTCTTTGCAACCGTCATTTTTGCTATTGAAGGAATAGGCACTGTGAGTATTTTTGTCTTGCAACAATTAGTCAAATAATATTATAAATCCATTGCTTCATTGTCGTTATCTGTATTTCCGTAGATTATGCCCATTGAAAATAGTATGGCCAATCCAGGTCACTTTATCGGCTGTCCCAGCGTACTCAGTGTTTCAATGACAGTCGTTATAGGACTCTACACTATGATGGGAGTGTTCGGATACATGAGTTATGGAGAAGAAGCTCAAGGCAGTATTACCTTAAGCCTTCCGATAGAAAATCCGTAAGTATCTCGTTAGTGATAACGTTAGTTTGTTTAACATAGAGACAACATAAGGTGAATGTCCCAATTATCGATCATTTTTCTTTATATCTTAATATAAATTTTTTCAAACATGAATGAATTGTCATTGGGGCACAAAAAAATAATGTTTTTGATACAAATCCACCTTGTTATTTATTGAAAATATATCTGAGACCTGTAAAAATAAAAATAAAGTAACCGATGATTGGGACATTTCTTCTGCTTGAGTGAGTGATAGTTGGGACATTCACCTTATTAAAAATTTTCTTTTTTGTATAAGGTAGTAATTATAAAACATACAATTATCAAATAATTTTTATTTTTAGCCTTGGTCAAGCAGTAAACATTTTAATCACGCTTGCCATCATTTTAACGTATGGTCTTCAGTTTTTCGTACCTCTGGAGATAATCTGGAATACCATTAAGCACAAGTTCAGCCACAGATGGGAGTTTCTCGGCGCAACAGTCATGAGGATTCTCATGGTCCTTCTTACAGGTACACAAACAAAAATTAATTTTTTTTCTTTACAAATAGCTTCACGCATTATCAAATCATGCAGTTCATGCGTATACTGCTGTCGGATCATAACAACGAATACAACTATTTTTCACTCATATTGCAGTGAGTGTCGCCATGTTGGTACCAGACTTGGAGCCCTTCATCTCACTGGTGGGTTCAGTATTCTTTTCGATTCTTGGAATTTTTATCCCTGCTTTTATTGAAACCGTATCATGCTGGGATGGTCATCTCGGTGCCGGTTATTGGAGAGTCTGGAAAAACACTTTCCTAATAACACTAGCTGCGTGTGCCTTAATCACTGGCTCCTGGATCTCGATCGAAGATATTATTCAACGTTACACTACAACAACAGATATTGGAATATCTGCCAATACGACTGATTCTACGATACTGTTAGCTCATGGTATTACAAATCAAACTTTTCGACAATAGGCGTACTGGTGACGCATCGTATTTTTTCATAAGTGAGAGACATATAACACATGTCTTGTAAATAATGATCTACCTTTAACGTAACTTAATTTTTTTGGATCTTGTAGTTGGATGACGAATAATTATATATGGCCAATTTTTTTTTTTCATTTTGACATATATCGATGAGAAATGAACCGATGGACAAAAAAAAGAGATTTCGAACTAATTACTACCATTTCTGTATTTATTTGAGCTTGACAATGTCATTGAGTAAACGTTAAATTAATCTGTTCGTGCGCATTTTGTTAACTGTTATGGATAAACTTTCAAGTTGTAGATGAATTTTTAATTTTGACATGTTTGAGTGAAGTATTTATTAATTGTATTTAATGAAATATACATATGTATATACATATACATATTTTTTAAAGTGTCAAAAAATATATATAGAAATCATTAAAAGGCACAATATAAAAGGGCACAATGAAATGATAACATATTTGGGCTATAAAATTGTACATCTTGGGCAGTATCATAACTGATTTTATTTGTAATTCAAGATCCGTCGTTTTGTTTTAATGTTATTTTTTTTTTAATTATACATACGAATTTCTTAGTGGATAAATTACGTATACCATGAATTGCAATTGAGTTTAAGATTAGCAAGTATTCGTAGTAGTAAGGATATACAAGCTAATGCGCAGTAAAACTTTCAACCCTTTCGTATACAAATAACATTGATTAAAATTAATTAAATATTTTCACTAAGATTGCATACAACAATTTTCGCATGTTCTAAACATTGATATACACAAATGCAATATTTTCTTGTATATTATGTCAAAAAAAAAAAAAAATATTTTTAATGCTTTGCGATATCGAAAGGGTTCCATTGTGATCCTTGAAATACTTATAAGGCCGCTGTAAGTATTTTTATTTGGTCTCGAATGTACAACATCTGTTACTCAGTACTAGATGTGTGTGAAACCGTGACATTCACTTTTATCATTTCGTCTGCATTGTCTGAAAACGACTCAGTGCTTTGTGTACAGTTGAAAATTGAATCATAGAAAGATTACGTATAAGATAAGGATGAGCCTAAAAACTGTCTATTATCGTTTTAAAAGTATTTTGTTTGAGCACCTATTGTTTCTTATTATTTTTATTTATTCAGGCTGTTTACAGATACTAAGTAAGATAAATGTCATACATCTCATTTGTAATTTTTCTCCACAAAAAAATGATACGTTTTTTATTGTTGCGCTATGATTTATATTTTTAATAGTAGCCAGTTAAAAAGAGATTTTAAAGATCATTTTTAAGTAATGCGATGTGCAATAACTTTTTGTTTAAAAGAATTTTTCCAGAATCACATTTGTAAATAGTTTTTTATAATAGTTTCGATTACCACGGGGGTATTCGCTAGATTATGTTGATGCATAATAAATAAAAGTATAAGAAATTTTTGTACAGCTGCGACGAATTGTCAAAGGCCTTGTTATTCGATATTTTATAATGATTAGTGACAATGAGTAGCGTATGCACATGTTGTACAACGGATTCTTCNGGTATTATATGTAGGTATGTACTTTTTCTGCCTGCTGTGCACATATTATGCACCGGATGTTTTGATCGTTCATTAATTAATAAAATTACTATCAATTAAATGAGGTGCCATGACTTTTTTATTTATTTAATTACTCATTACATTTTTTTTTTTTTTTTTTTAATAAAGTAAACATACTTTTGGTTTTTGATATATACGTTTTGTGTATTTTTGTCTACCTAACCATTTATCCAAGTCATACCAAATGTAAATCGTTACTCGCAAAGATTATCGATACATGTAAGGTGTTTTTAAAATTAATGATTTATAATAATGATACGCGATTGGTTAATCTGGCAGCTACTGAAGAATAAATTTCACGTGAACAGATAGCCGTAATTTAATGGCAACCGTCTAAAGCCTAAAGCGTGAATACTTAATGACGTCAACGGAGATCGGAATAATTGATGTTATCTTTTATCTGATTTGGAAAATAAATTTGAAAGCCGATCGATAAGGAGCAATGAACTTTTGAAGACATACAACCCACTTTTTATTTCATACGTTGTCTTGTATTTTCGTAAGCAAACAATGTAACGGAGCCTTTTTGTTTTTATTTCATTAAAAAATGAATATCAAAGCTGTTTCAGGAACTCGTTATCAAAAGGCGTTGGTGAATCAATGAAGCTTATTTGCTGTTTTTTTTTGTTTATTTTTTATTTTATTTTATTTTTTTTTTGACGACCTGTCGAGCTCCAATTTTTTTATCTGCGAGGAATTCAATTTAAATAAATCACGATACATATATGTATAATTTAAAAATTTTACTACTAATCACATTGAAAGATTGAGTATGACAAAAGCAAAAAAATATTTAAACTTTTCTAAATCATGTACATTCTCTCCCGTCCTAACGTCGAAAACAGTGCTCACCACCTAGCCATCCAATGGATTGGATTTTTCTTGGATCCAGTACCAGATCCAGTTCAAAGAACTGACAACAGGTGGCCGAGTCACGATGGTAAATTTGGAATGTGCGTGATGTGCGAGTACAAGTGCATGCACATACACATATTGCAGGTTGGATTTGGATCGTTGTGTGTGTTAATACGAAGAACAACGATGATCGACGACGACAACAACTTTGAGAGCTGAGAAGCCAGTTAACCAGTGATGATTGTGTTTTTACCGCTGATACGTACGACGTAGCTCATCATACTATTAAATTTTTTTTATAATATAATAAAAAAACCCTTGAGAGTTTGTAGAGGACAAGGTGTGCGTGTTTAAAAAAAATTTGAGGGACGATTGATGGTTACGTGAAAAAGAGACCTTGGGTGTCAGATTCTCCTGCTATTTTCAAAGCTTACCGGGAAAGCGTGGACATCATAACCTATCGTGGAATTATCGGAGACCAAAGGGCACGAAGAGCCGGCGAGGATGGCCATGGGCGATGACTTTAACTTTGCCGAGCTCTGTAGGCTCTGCTCCCTAAAGAGCAGCCATCAGATGCAGATTTTCGACAAAGAAGCCGAGCAGAGGCAGCTATTATTCAAAATACGCTCGTGCATACCGGCAGTGGTGAGTGTGTGTTTTTTTACTTGGTATTATATGTAGGTATGTACTTTTTCTGCCTGCTGTGCACATATTATGCACCGGATGTTTTGATCGTTCATTAATTAATAAAATTACTATCAATTAAATGAGGTGCCATGACTTTTTTATTTATTTAATTACTCATTACATTTTTTTTTTTTTTGTTTAATTATTTTACCGATATAGATAACAAAAGAGGACGCATTACCAAAAAATATTTGCCAGAGGTGTATATACAAATTGGACATGTTTTACGAATTCCGCGTGAGCTGTATGACAACTGACACGGTTTTGAAAAATTATGCAGATAGTATTAAACAACTTGCCGCTGTCACACAGGTAAGAGACATGTTTTGGTAATATACAATCGAAACTATAAAAACCACTAGAGAAGGTGTTATTACGGAGCAATGCACAATTTTTAAACTTTATACATTTTTAATTAAATTTGTAGTAATATCAAGTTCAATTGTGATTGTACGATACAATCATTTTTAATATTTTGATATTATTTTTAAAAACATTTAAAATTTGTATATTATTTCAAAAGATTCAACGCGTATATTATGCTACCCTTTAAAATTTTTTCCATAACTTTGCTCAGTTTTGGGACCGAAATTTTTTGAATAACCTGAATGTATGTTGAAGTTATTCATAAAATTTTTAAGTAGATGATTTCAGTTATTAAACATTTAATTTAAATAGGAGGCTTCTTATTTGTGCAACAGCTTATTGTTAAGAATAACGCAACGTAAGTGAATGAAATTTTTTTCAAAGAAGTTCATACTTTCTTTCGAGTAGTGTCAACTAACAGATATTATTCACCTCTGAAGGAAATTTCATACTTACTTAGCACTATTCCACATTCATTTACTCAGTTGCGATCATGCAAAAAAGTATCTATTTACATTAATCCAATTTAAATCCAATTATTTTACTGATTTTACAAAAGAAGAAAATTTGACGAAAAACACCGACACGGCAAAGTCAGCAGCAGTAGTCCGTCCGTAGCGAGTACTAGCGATGGGGTTGCAGAACAGGAGGGGGATGTCGGGTGTTCACCTCCTACGAAAAAGGGACATGTGGGTGTGAGTACGCGTGGGTGTACGGGACAATCGCATCTCGTCTATGCGACGCTATATTGATCGGTGGGGGCTCCGTGGCTTGTTTACTCTCCCTTCTTGCACCCCTGTCGTCCAGACAAATACTTAGCTCGCACTCGTATTGTACACAGTGTAATAAACCTACGTGCCTTTACATATTATGCTCACATGCTAAGCGTAGTACAATAACAATGCCACGGGCTCGGGTGCAAGTAACATTAACACGAAAAGCGAAAGTCAGAGCCTTTTTTCCTGTTGTAGATACTTAAATATACACATTCAACATTCTTTCTTCTCACTTTCTTTATCAACTCCTTCGTAGTCTAGCTCTGCATCACTGGCTTTGTCCTGTTCATGCCCCGGCTCTTTTTTTCATTCTCCGGTGCACGGATCACGCTCTTATCTGCTTTTCTGTACGGCTTACTTATTACTATATGCCCGTACACCCTGTAATAGTAGCCGCTCGTCAACAACAAACTTAATCCGTGGCCATCTCGCTTCATCGGCATTTCCTCGTTGTTTTTTTTTTTTTTTTTTTCAAATACCTAACTCCCTTTACAAACAAATTTTTTTCCTTTTAGTGCCTTGCACGAACTGAGCGTATACTTAACCAGCTAAGGATAAATGTACCTATTTCTATGATCTGCCCTATTACTGTAGATTTTGAAAAACTGATAATTACTTCCTTAAAATACGGAGTTGCAGTAGTAAAATAATTTTTTAATGTTAGTAACCAAAAGAAATACGAGTATTTATATCTTTTGATATGGATGACAGCTAGCTTTAGGTCGAAGCCATTAAGTAAATAATTATTTTGTACAACGCGCACAGTAATTGATCGAGCAAGTATTTTCGTGGTGAACGTATATAAATGCAACTAAAGTATACTTGCGTACCGCATGATAGTGAATGCGTAAAAAATACAGGAAAAATTTCTATTGCAAATAGAACAGCCAAACTAAAGTTATATAGAGAATCGGGCATCAAAAATGAAAAATGAAATCGATATAAAAAATTTCATTGAAAAACTTCAATGACAAGAGAGTATTGGAGAATAAAATTGTTTTGTATCATATAATGAAGGGCTGTGAACGAAAAAAAAAATTTTTTTTTTAAACAGTAAATATATCATACAGAAAATACAGGTGACATTTGCAACTTACAGGTGAAACTTGTTTACGGTAATTGAGACATGGTGATTTGTATATCTCCGGTAATACTTACACAGTAATAGCTACACTACCAGCATACCGTTTTCATTCATTTTAAAAATATTCTACTGAAGTTTTAGTCTTGATATTTCGTAAGAGTTTACTTAAAATTAAAAAAACAAAATATATTTCAAAAGAATTTTATTACACTATTTTTCATGCTGCATTCAAGTTTGAATTTTCAGTATGTGCCACAGTGATAGATAGACTTACCTTCATTTCATACTTTTGATAGTTGTTTTACGAAATATTTCAACATTGAAGTACTCAAAAATATAGTTTAGGTCAACTTAAATTGCACTAAAATATTTAAAAACTCATCATGTCCACCTGTATGAAGCCAACAATAGAAAGGCTGTTTCTTAATCCTATCATCTGTGTTGATGAACAAAAAAGAGCTGTAGGTAAGAGCTTGAATATTAACAATCAATTAAAAACTCAAACAACTAAGATTTTAACTGATGATAAGCAGATGAAAAATATATTACGTACAAATTTTTTGTACTATTGAGCTTTTATCCACCGTCAAAAATAGAAATCGGTAGTAAAAATGTAGTACAAAATACGTAATGCACTACATAGACCTAAATTTTTAGCACTCTCCCTAATTTATCTGACCCATACAAGCACCACCCAAAAAGTCTGGTAGCTGCTGGACGTCGATCAAGCACCGAAACCAGTAGTTGCCCCCGGAGATGCACGTCACTCCCGATTATTATTATTCCACCACTGTAGTATGCGTGCTCAATATCATATGCGGTTCTAGGAGCGCTTGCACAGGTGTATCAGAAAGGGTAAAAGGGAAGAGGGAGGGGGAAGTAGCTTGTCTCCGTCTCTATAACAGAGGCTCTATAAAAGCAGTTGGATGGAGGTATACGTCGGAGGGCGTTTTTAACGATCCATGAGAGTCGGGCTCATCTTGTCTCCTCTGCTGCCGAGGCTCTCAGGTGCGGGTTAGACTTCGGCTGCTGTAGCTGCAACCAAGCATGTAAAACCTGTTTCTTCAGCAGCCAAAGCAAGAGAAAGAGAGAGAACGTTAACTTTCTCGTGGAGAATAAAGTAAAAAAATAAAAAAGGTAGAGGAGTCCAGCTCCTGAAGCTACTGCAGGCTTCGTTTTCAACGTTGTCAGCTTATGTATATGCACCTGTACTAACGATATATGATATTTTGTCATCGTTTAAGTACCCAGTGCAGCATATCATGTGATTGCAGCTAAACTGTCCACCAATTTACGTACGATGATCAACACATGGTGCGTTACGAAAGAGTGATCAACACATGGTGTTTATTTTTTTGAATCTGTGTCAATGGAATCATTTTGCAGGCTTACAGTTGCAAGCATTATTTTTTTGATTCGTCCTATTTTTTTTTTTTTTTTTTTTTTTTTTTTTAACAATGATTTGAATACGCTCAATTGTCCTAGGAAGTACGTTTAGACATTTATGCATGTTTTGATTATTAATTATACATCTAGCGTAGGTACGTTAATTTTTTCTTTACCCACTTTGTTGTTTTTTGATGCATTCCAATGAAGCTTACTGCTCGCCCCGTTCATAGCCAACACCATATTAAGATCGTTCGATCAATTGATCGCATTCTTTCAATTTTTTTGGTTCCTTCGCTACTTACATCGGCGCCAAAAAGTTACATTGTGGGCTCCTCGTCACCGCTGGAGTCTGGCCCCAATGTCAGTGTCAAGGTCAGCCGGCCGACGCACCGCAGTCAAGCGTCGCTGGTGGCGCGCACCAGCCAAAAGGGAGGGAAGGTACCCAAGCGCGCACAAGAAAGGGATAAAGAGAAAAAGAGGGGAGAGAGAAAGAGAAACGTTCGTGGCCCTGCGTGGCTCAATGATGTCAGTTCGACGCCGGGAGGCTGTGAGCATAGATATTGCCGCGACAGTAGTCACGCAAGAGATTTTGTAGGTGTGTACGCATAGAGTGGACGGGGTGGTTATACGGGGTGTGCGAGATTACACACATGGTGGTTGATCAGGCGATTTAGAAAGTCTTTGATGCCCGATTTAAAGTTTTTTTGTCCGAATATTCAGTGCTATGAGTGAGAGTTGGAATTGAATATATTTTGTTTTATCCACCCAAGAAGTACCACGGAATTAATAGGATTATGTTTCGAAAATTGGTAAGGGCTCATATACTGCTTAAATGATAAATTTAAGGTCGATTATAAGGTAACAAATTGTAAAGTCTTCATTACATTATGTGGGAAAAATAATTGAATTGTTTATTTACAATTATTTAATAGCAGATGCGTATCAGTGGGCTTTGATCAAAAGTATTTTATATTTTAAATTTTACTACTTTTACATGAACAAAAAGTAAAACGTTGTGTTAATTTGGTTGGTATAACTATATATAGTTAGAGATACATGGTAAGCTGTTTTAATTAAATCGGAAATTGATAATAACTGCGACAATTGAGATGTACAAAACACGTTTGACACCCAGTAAAATAAAATGCTCGTAATGGTAATATCATTTCTATGAAATTGTTTTTATTGTTAATGTTCCACGCACGCATTTCTTCTCATATTTCTTCGTACCCACAAAGCTCTTTTTGATAAAACATTCCTTATACTTATGTACATATGTTAACACCCAAATCTTTTGTCAATTAAATTAAACGTCAATCTCGAGATCTCGATGCTTAAAACATTGACAAAAAATATAAAAACTATTTCTCGTGCATCATAAGTTGTGCGAATTCTCTGACCACATGTGCGTTGAACACGAATTCACGCAGCATCGAAGAAAACGATGGATTAAGCCCATTGTTCCTTCCCAATTCGCTTACACGAAAAGTTTGGAGGCTCACCTAACATCCGAGAGAGAAAAAAAACCGGCTCCCGCGCACTGTCCCCTCGCAACAACGACGACGACGGTCTCCAAGCTTGTACAGGCGGCAGCATCAGCATCCCCTTTCTTCGATCCTCGCATTTCGTGGCTGTTCAAGCAAATTCAATGTGCCGTGTTATTCCATTTCCAACGGCTTTTAAGAGAAAGAGAGATTGGCTCATTTCGAATTAAAATTTTTTGCACCATGCAGTAGCAATATATAGTGGCAAGCTTAGCTTACGTAACAAACAGCACAGAGTGGTGTAGTATTCTAGCTGTTCTAGCCGATTTTAATACATTTTTGGTTCGTTATTACGTTATACGCGTAACCCAGGGTATAAGCTATAGACTATTTGAACTAATTTAATTTCTTCGGCCACCGAGGCGTTCAAGTCTTGCGTACAGTATGTTGTTTAAGGTGACAGCACCACCTGATTTATTCTAAATGTTTGGGAATTATATAGTGTTCAGTGCGTAAAAAATCCTCATTTGGAATTTGCCTAACATTGTGTTCGATGCCAGGAGAAGTTTTATACTTTTTTTTTTTTTTTTTTTTTTTTTTCGAAAATAAATGTAACCACTTTGATCGTATTTTAATGCTAAGCATATTAGGAAAAACGATAGCTACAAATTTAATAAACGACATTTTGGCTGCAAGTTACATGTTTCTCCGTAGCTGTTCCATTAAGTTTGGTGTAAAATGAAGTTCTAATAGCAAAACCGTTTATTCAGATCCTACGAAACCAACAGAACATTGTGATGCACCGTATTGCGTTTGCGTTTAAACAGCATCACATGAAGATTAATCCTCAACATATCCCAAGGTACACACTAAACTCTAGCCCTACCGGTCTTCTTGATAATAATACTGTTTCATCCCAAACGTCTCATCAGTATAACGGGTGTTGTGTGCGAGTGCTGCGAGTGTACCAACAACAGTAACGACAACAATAACGTGCGTGGTGCGTTAACTGCTACACAGTCTGCACGTACTCATCTACGTGTACACACACATGCATACACGATGCATAAGGTCGTTGCCGGAGGATCGATACTTCTCTCTCGCGTCGACCTTCGTCTTGCGCGCGCGCGGAACGAAGTCGCTTCATCCACGTATATAAATATATGCCCACACACATATTATATCGTGAGGCATAGATCTGTATACAGCTGCCGGAGAACCGGAGGAGATGGTCCGCCTGTGATACAATGTCTACGTACATATATATATATGTGCATCGTGAGTTCGTGTTATACGAGAGATTCCCTTCTCGATTCGTTCTCTTTTTTCGTGAGTATAAGAGCGAAGCTTGCCCCTATGTTTTACACGCAAACTAAGAAAAGAAAAAGCAAAAAGGACTGGAAGGAGCCGAGTCGAGGGAGATGGGCAGCAATGTACCCACTCGTATGCTATATATGTGTGTATATATACGTGGCGGTCGAATATGCTGTTCGAGCATCCTTCTGATGCCTAATTTTTGTAAAGTCTGCAGCTCGAAGCAGGTCTTGGACCTGATTTTTACTTAGAAGGATGATGTTGATGATTATTTTAGGTTTCCACCTCTTTTAGAATTGGTATGTTTTATTTTATAGGAGATTGATGTACCTATTGCTGAAATTTTGTAAAAGTTGAACACTTAGACAAAATTTTAGTCAAAGTTACATGCGAAATTTGCGTATAGCTAACACAAAATATTCGTATTAAACGTACAAAATTTGTGTAAGGTAAATGTGTATATATTACGATTTACAAAAAAAAACATGAGTGGTACATTTACTTTTAAACATACTTCTCTTGACGCTTCAACTGATTTCAATAGTGAATTTTTAAAAATTCGATGAAAAAAAGGGTTATTATTCGGAGGTTAAAATAAAATATGACTTTGGTAATTTTTTGTTTTCAATTGTGGGTCAATGACAGATCTTAATTGAGTTTTTAATCCAGGAAAGTTCGATTTTGAAGAGACGCATAAATTCGCGTTTAGTGATTTTTAGTAACATTGACTCGTGTTACTTTAATACAATTTTTTATTCCTGATGTATAAAATAGAAAAAAATCTTCGAATAAATTGAAAACAATCCTACAATATCTTTGTTTATAACAATTTTTAATGTTGCTTGTAAAAAAATAGAAGTCCCGAACTCTTATTTTATCAAAAGAGTAACCATTGTGATTGAAAATTTTCCCCGATAAACGGATCGAAAATTTCAACAAAACCTCAAACTGTCAAGCACACAGATAGTCTGATAGTCACTTTTTGTTTCCTCAAATAAAAAAAAGAGAATCCAAAAAAAACAGCTCAAAATGATTTTGCAGCTAATAAGTGCACAATGGTCCGTGCCACCCTCCAGACCTTGGAAAAGAAGGTTCTTATCACAAGTCCAACATTCCTAAGCTCTGAAAATCAGTGAGCAAAAAAAAAGAGGGTGAAGGAAGTTAGCCCTCGACCTCGGGGCACACTGCACTTTCCCTCAACTGATGCCGGCTCAGCTTCCTTATCTTAGCTCCTGTCGCGTCCTGCTCCTCTTGCATACAGAGACAACGCGTAGTAGTTACACAAACGAACAAAGTCCTCACCACCCGTGCTGTGTGTATAAGGTTACCTATACACACTCGCAATCTCCTTGCTCTCTCTCTCTCTCTCTCTCTTTGCCGTTCTTCCTCGGTCTACAGCTCTTTTTTCCTTCTTTCTTCTCTCGCAGCACTCGTGAGAAAGATCCAAGCGAGCCATGCATGCAGCCTTGTTTCGCTCGCTCGTTATTGCAACAGCTACGGTAGATCGCCGCGCGATGTGCCGCGGGCAGCAGCAGCTGCTCTCTCTCTCTCTCTCTCTCTCCCTGCTACTTCCACCGTATGCTACATAATACTCTCGTATGAATTCGACTCTGCCCGCGATTGTGTTTGTGCATATTATACTCAATGACGACGACGACGATGACGGTAGTCGGTATACCTTTTTTCGCCTTTCGAAGAGTTGCTGTCGAGCTCCTCGCACACATTGCTTAAGTGGCTACTGGTGTCTCGGTAATCTTGTGAGTTTATGCGCATTTTTTCCTTCCATTGGTGCGGTGTATTAAATATTCTTTTTGGCTCTGACTTGATATATCTTCTCACAGACTTCAGTGAAGATGTCTCCTGAGTTTTTAACTTTCTTAATTTCTATGTATCGTTCCAATGGCGTAGGTGCTTTATTTCGTGCAGTCCGTCAAGATGTTAAAATGATCTAACAAGGTACATAAAAATGTAAATCAGGAAACGCAATAGTTCTTATGTCCCAGGAATCCCTCTAGATGCAGGAATATTATTTAAAAACAGAGTTCTGAAATCCTTTTGATAAATAAGAGGCATAGTTACTGGTAAAAAATTATGATTGAAAAAAATTCAAGTAAGACAATTCGGCTCTCAAATATAATTTGTTCCTTGAGTTGTGTCAACGATTGCCTATAGCAGAATAAGAATTATCAAGTAGTGGCATACTCTTAGCAATATTAAATTAATTCGTTATTGGTATCGGCCAACTGTACCTTGCACCATAAATGTAAATAATCCTTAATTTTCTTACATTCTATCGTACAACAATAATATAATTAGCTGAGATGTACCGGATGGGGGTTGCTACAATTATAGTATGCATAGATGCACTTGGATATCCCGTCTCTAAAATAAACTTTAAATTCAGAACATAAGAATTCAGTTTAAAAGGCCGATGATTTAAAGTCACGATACATATTTTTCAGAACGACAAAGACAAAATGTCGAATGGTCAGCACCACCAGCGTTCAGCTTACGTGGAGGCACACGCAGTGGCACACGCAGCAGTTCAACAGCACATGGCCCAGCAGGCAGCCCAGGCGCGACTGCTAGCTGGCCCAGTACCTAGTGCTGCGCCCCAGCCGCCCAACCCGACCTTCACTCTGCCCGACGACGGTCTTGGTTACGACGACGGAGTGCGCGTACTGCGTTCCATTGGCACGTGGTGAGTGTCTTTCCACTTCAACGTTCAACCGAAAAATTGGTTCAACGATCTAACGTTCGCTTACAATCTACGCAGGTCTCCAGACTACTCGTCAGCCATGCGACCGGGTACTATGATGCCAGCTTTTCCAGGTACCGCGGAGCCGCAGTTCAACACAAATGGTCGAGCCCCGACGACGGCGGCAGTGAACCAACAGCCTTTACGGAACACAAATGCGTCCAGCAGTATAAGGCCAGGCTCGGTGTCCAAGGCGACCAATACCGGTGAGCCAACGACTAAAGCCTTTGCCTGTACAGTATGTGGCAAGGGCCTAGCGCGCAAGGACAAACTCGTCATCCACATGCGGATACACACCGGTGAAAAGCCCTACTCTTGCGAAGTCTGTGGTAAGTACACCTTAGAGAGGGGGGGGGGGGGTTCAGCATTGACTTTGTCCTACGAATCGATGGATCCATCACTTATCGGATACTTTCATGTAACAGGAAAAGCGTTCGCAAGAAGGGACAAGCTAGTAATTCATATGAATAAGCTGCGACACAGACCTGGAGTCACGGCTTTGTCAACGCCCACTGGCTCAAATTTGCACAACGAACAGCAGCAACAACAACAACAGCAACAAACGCAACAGCAACAGCAGCAGCAACAGCAACAGCGTCCTGATAGTACGCAGAAGCCAAAAGAAGAACCAATCAGTTGGTCGTGTGAGTTGTGTGGACGAGGGCTGGCTACGAGGGAAGAATGGGCTCAGCACGCGAGGTAATTTGATATAATCTATAATCATTTTAAAAATCCATTGTAATGAATAGTTAAAAAATAAAGAAGAATGATTGTAATAAATTGTCGGATAGGTCGCACCGAGAAGCCACCGGCCCACCACAGCACGCAGCTGCCTATTTTCCTGGGTCAGTTCCTCCGCCACAGCCGTACCCAGCCGAAAGGCATCACTGTATGATGTGTCGTACCGATTTCACCGACAAGACCGAGTTTATTCTGCACGTGCGCTCGCACTTCGACCCCCATACTCAGCAGGCTGCCGTGGCTGCAGCTGCGGCCGCAGCCGCGGCGAGTGGAAAACAGGACCCAGCCACTGCCGAACTGATCGCTCGCGGTCTCGTCGATCCCTCGGGCCTCTGCAGCTAGAACTTTCGTACTGGCTACGGCTCCCTACAGTCTCTACGTGTCATTCTGTAATTGGTGAAGTGAGTAAGAGGCTTTTAAGTGGGTTTTTTCGTGTCTGCGTGGCTGTGTGTGGATATTATTATGAGGATACAAAAAATCTAAGGAGCTGGAATTAACATTGTCTTTTCATTGGTTGTTTAATTTTTTTATGATTGTGCTGACTTCTAATTTGAAAATACGATATGTAGTATTTTAATTAGAACAGTATTCAGAGCGATTTTTTTTTTTTTAATAATTACGAAAATTGAATATAAGTAGCCTTTTTTTATTGTGTCACTGCAATGCGAATTGGGCACGTATAAAAAATTAAAGGCAAATATTCATTTAAGGGTATAAATAAAAAATATAACAAAAATATCTGATCATACCGACTCAATAAAAAAAGGATTGTGAACTATGTCTCGGTAATCCAGATGGATGAACCCAAAAATTGTTCGCTTTTTGTGATTGTAATTATTACTTTGCTATCGTTGATCATTATAGTTGGAGATCATAAATCGAACGATATAAAAATGTAAGCATTTTTCAAGTTTGTATTTTAATTTTTGTAAAATAAAATTGTCAGTGTAAGTTGTTTTTACAAAAATATCCAGTATTGCATATCGCAAAATTGTTCGTTAATTGTTTAGTTTGAAGTTTACAGATATTTTAAATGTTAATTGAAAAATGTATTTAAGTTTATTAGTTCCGATTTTGAAGTAACGAATATTTAGAGTTGTATAGTTACAAAAATTCATGAAAAATTCTGCAGTCTTATCTAATTACGTTAAGTAGTGTAATATATTAGAATAGAAATTTTTTTACAATAGATAGGTGGATGAACAGCTGCAGATAATCTGATTTGATTTATTTATTTTATTTTTTTTTAATGATGTATGATAGTTGGTGATTACTTTAAATTTATTGTTCCTACCAGAATACACGTTCTTAGATAAGATAAATATTTCAAAAAAATATTTTTTGAATTATAGCTTGAGTATAAAAATACAAAAATAATTTGAAATCATTTTTTGTTTTATTTATGTATGATATAAAATAAACCTTCTGCGAATTGATTTTTAGGCATAACATAACTTGTGCCTCCATTCTTGTATAAGAATTTTCAAGTGTTGTAGTTCTTGAAAACAATATTTTATTTATGTTTCATATTTATTAATGATCAACAAAAACAATACATTCAACGTAGCAAAACCAACAGTAACAGTAAAGTATGCTTTTATTACACAAACATAATACTGTAATTCAAGCCAACGCGCGCAGTCACAGAAAAAAATGTTTGGTGTAACGATGTATTGAAACTACTACGGAGGCTCAATTATATTGTAAAGTCGAGAACAGATTAAGATGTAAGGAAACGAAACAGGCGGTGCAATGCGATCTGTATAAAGTTGAGTAAAAAATGCATTTCCGAAATAAATAAATGTACATATATACCTATGTTTCAAAGAATGTGGTGCCTTCTGCTTAAGGACTTCATTTTTGCCACGTATTTGGGAGGCACACTATCTTTGAGTTGACAAAATAATGTTTATAAGTTTTTTATAGATCTAAAGTCGTAGTTGATCATTGTATTATTATTATTTTTTTTTTTAGTTTTGTTTTCTACTGTCGTAAGTAAATATTATGAATAAGAGTAAACTATTCATTAAGTGACTTTTTTGTACTGTTACAGTCCCATAAAATGACAATTGAGTCAGTGAGTTACTGCCATAATCATAAAACAAAATGTATACTCATCAAACTTTTATAAATAAATCATTAAGTAATAATATCGTAAGTGAAGTTACCAATTTCAATTTCTTCCTTTACTTTGAATCTCATGAATGACAATTTGATTTTGAGAATTTGGAGCCAATGAGTGAGTAAAAAAGTAAAATTAGTTATCAGGTCATAAAATGTTATAATATGTTTAACAGGTATTTAAAGTTTTAAAGAAATGATCTTATGCTGGCAGGGATTCGAAACTAGCGCTTTTTCTGTGAAGAATAATTATTTACACGAGTCCTACATAAATGGTGATCTATACTAAGTACTTTAGTTAAAAAATGTCAATTAATCAAATACGTCCAACAAAAACTTCAATTCTAGAATCGAAAATTAAATTTCCAAGCATGACTGCGTTATATTTTTACTAAATAGTTTACTAAATCGGTTAATTTCTATAACTAAAAATTGGCATTTTCCGAATGGTTACAAATGGCACAACAATTGCAGATTTAAAACAATTTTCTTTCATTAAGTTTTACTACTGAATTGAATTTGGTTACTATATAATTCGAAAATCCATGTAAAATACAAAGAAAAATTTAAAATACTTATTTGCAAAAGTAATTCACATCCTACGGCAAATTATATTGGGCAAAACTTTTTTTTACTATACAAGCACTTAGGAAATCAATTTCCTAGAATGCAGTTCTTGATCTCTCTGTTTTATCGTGTTTTAAGCGATATCATTCACTAGAATCGAAATTTAGTAAATTTTCTGAATAAATCAATGAGACAATATTTTAAGTCTCTTATGCTGCATCAATCCAAAGCCAAGAATTAATGGAATCCTGAGTCATGATGAGGCGAAAACTAACTTAACAATATATTAATATCTCAGAAATGAACTGGAACTGTTTTCCACCCGAAAGTAACTTAATATTTGCCAAGCAATATAAAGCGAAGCAGGTCATTAAATATACAATAAGTAATGGAGTAATTGCAAAGAGTATCACTGGAAAACTTTGTGCATTAATGCATAATCTCGTCTACATACATATTGAATATTAGCTTAATCTTGAAATCGGAGCGAGAATAACTTTGGTACAGTGATTTTGTTTTTCTCATACAGGTGTGACGAAATGGGATGCCACCAACCCGATCCATTCTGAAAAAAAACTTTTAACATGGGAGAAATTATTTTATCAGCTAGTCCCAGCATCAGATTCGAGATTCTTCAGGCCAACTTAAAGGAGATATAACGAAAAAAAGTTTCAACAGATGTTAGTTAGAAAATCATGTTTTTCGCTATTGATGATTAATTATATGATATACAAATTTTAGAGAAGTTTCAACAATAACTTCAAAAATTTTTGGACACAACTGTTCAAAAATTAGTATGCTACAAGTAACAATAAATAACATAAAATGTCAAAAATTGGAAAAGGCTTGCCACTTTGGTGGAATAGTATTGTGATTTAAAATTTGAACGCAATATTTATGATTTACCTATATTTTTCCAGCTAAAAGAAAGTATTGTACATGTATTTGATTTTAAAGCCTCTAGATTAAATTATTTCCGTACTTTTTATTATTCGATATTCCAATGTCATATTTTTTATAGGATATACAATATCAAGGATAATAATATAAAAAAACATTCTAACTTTTAGGCTTACTGCACAGCTGCAACGTCCCTTACTCAGCTAAAGCATACAGTGTACCTACAACTAGTATTTCTCCCTGTCTATTGTGTTGCGAATGCGGCTAAAGGCGAACGGGACCGTCATTCTCCGCTGCCAGTATACTAGCGCACACGTGTTTTGTTATAGATATATAACATACATGCACAGGAACTCGAGAAATGCTGCTCCCCTGAAAATATTTGGCTTCGAGTCTCCATTTCTGAATTTTACGTAGACCAACGCTCTAGAAACGTGCACCTGATAGCATGTATATAGACATATGACGAAATCCACAAAAAATATCCTATTTTTGTTCCTGATTTTACAAAAAAATTTTTTTGAAGCACATCCTTAAAACCGAGCTTATTTTACTCGTAATGTCATGTGCTATAAGGAAAAAATTTTAAACACGGGTTTCAGTGAGGATGAAACCATTTTTCCTCGATTTACATGCTATTTTATTATCTATAAATATCTGCACACGTACAGATATAGTTTTAACATGTTAATAGCGAAAAATGGGTGTCACCCTCACTGAAACCCGTGTTCAAAGTTTTTTCCTCATAGTACTTAACATTATAAGTAAAATGAGCCCGGTTTGAAGGGTGTGCCTCAAATAAATTTTTTTTTTTTTAAATGGGATACAAAAACGGAATATTTTTTGTAAATTTTCACGTATGCCTATATCACTCCAATGATTCCACGCTCTTCTCGCTCGTTTGCACTTTCTCTCACGTACTTAAATGCGCTCACGCAAATACATTGACTATTGTACGAGTGCATGAATTGCTCTCCTAATTTCGTTGTGATTGAAAGATGGAAAATAAGACTGGGATGTATCATGAGAATTTAGAATTGACGATTCTTAATTTCATTGCTGTTTCTTTCTGTCTGGTCTCATTATAAACGATCAAAGATCTCTGATTCTCTGAAGTGTGGGATGGATGGAGAGCCTATAAATTTGATTTTGGGATAGATTTTTCGGTACTGAACTAGTTGACTTACGTTAAGAAAAATCGTTCTAGACGACAGTGTATTATTGCATATTATTTCAGTAAAACGATACGTGCCGTATTGTTTTTTTCTTCTTTTTTTTTGTGAGAGCTTTACAAGTTATTGCTGTTAATTAACTGGAAAATCTTTATCAAGCTTTTTATTCAGTCAGAGTATCCAAAATCGTTCACCTTTTGGAAATCCAAACTTATGACAGATAGCTGTTTAGATCAATATAATATGATTAAAAATAGAGACACAATGCGCTCTTGAGAATTCACGGTTCCCGCAAACTATATTGAGAAACCACAAAATTTGCATTTATAAGTCTTGTACTACGATTAGATTGCATGGGACTCTATTACAGCTGTTTTGTTATTTTTAAGGGACCAATTAGGTGGTGGATAGGATGGAGAAAGAGCTGATCGATCGAAGTACGTCGATTTTTAAGTAACGCTGAACTTTCCCACAGTGCGGCTTCAGAGAAGAGAGTCGCAGCCACTACTAAGGATCGAAAATGAAAGAAGCGGGAGAGAAAAAAAGGAACAAGTAAAAAACAGCAACAAGAAGAGTAAGAAGTGTACTTGTACTCATGTTATAGGTATACACCCTGGTTAGTGCAGGCCAGGGGTACAGAGTAACCGAGCCGCGGATTGCGCCATCGCTTGGATATATAAACACACGTTGCAGAAGCAGGTATCTGTTCTGGTCGTACAAAGGTTGGCTTGTAGTTGGCTGCTCCCACAGCTATGAGTAAAATGCCAGATGAAAGTGAATATCGGCAATAGGAGAAGAATGCACTGCCTAGTAGGTAAGTATACACGTGGGAGTGGAACGGAGTGAGAAGGTGAACTTTGTAAGGAGAGCATGCATAGATCATGCTACCCTCTGTGTTGCTGGTCTGCAGGCTCTACCTTTTAGAGTTGAATTATCACATAAGCATCATTAAGAGACTTTGTACCATCGATGACCCTTGTTTTTTTTCATGTAAAATTTAAGAAACCTTCTCAATTATGATACTTAGGAAATTATATTATTAGATCATATGACACAATTAATGTTACTTATAAAGTTTATACTGAAACATATACTGAAAATATCTCTGGAGATTTTATGTTTTAATCTACAACCAGTCACTTCTCAAATTTTAGATCTAATAAGTACCCAAATTAACGCTTAAAAATGCTAGATGACCCACACCAGTCAAAAATAAAATAAAACAGCACCTTTAAAACTTCTATACAACAACAAATAACCAAAAAAGGCTTGAGAGGAGGACTCATAAGTCAAAGTATCTTTCTTTCCAACATAAAAAACGCTTAAGATTATTAAGTTTGACATCTACTTAAAAATAGGAGGGCGCATGATCGAGAGGACTATGAGAGTTTGTAATTTTTTTTAACTTTCGTAAGCAAAACAAATAGGAGGAGAGAATACAAACAAAAATTTTTGGCTGTCAAAAATGATATACTTTATTAATCTTAAAAAATATTTCTTTACATTGCTTAACGACTGTAATAGAAATTAACCTACACAATAAATTCAAGTAGTTTTAAATTTTCAGTTTTACTATCACTGACAAGGAACTTGATCGTTTGCAAGACAAAATTTCTTCTACGTTGAATGTCACGGGGACAGTTCCATGTCTATAGAGAATGAAAAAAAACATGTATACACGTACATAAAACAATTTTTTTGTTGAGAAAATAAACAGGATGACAATATTTCTCTTAACTAGAAAATCGTCATCCAGCCAGTCGAATTGTTCTATACTCTCCCTCGAGTAATCCCTTCACCCGCTCTCCCTTTTTCACAGCTATTGTACCCTCTCCCCTAACTCCTTCTCGTCAGACTCGTCCTTTGATTTCCGTCCAACGCTCAAATCCCTCATCTTCAACTCTTGCTAAAAGTATAGGAGAAGCCGTCAGGCGTCCGGTTGAAATCGAGCTTGCCGGGAGGGTAGAAGCGCCTTGGTGCTGGCGTCGTTATCTCATTGTAGTTATACCTCAGTGGTGCAGGTGGAGGTTGCGGTGGTGGAGACGGTGGCGTTGGTCGGGGGACCGGCCGGTATTGTGAAGTGATCGGTCCAATCACTGGCTGAGGGGCCACATCATATTTCGTATCATAACGGAGCGAACCGGATGGATACTCGGCGTAGGGCGACTCGTACTGTAGCTGCGAATGTTTTGCAAGTTACGTTTTTGTTACTAGCCTCCATGAAATCGATGATTTACAGAAATCACTTCCTTAGTATCGTTCACTCACCAACTCTGGTTGAGGAGGTGGTGGTAATGGCCGATTGTATCGTGGTGCAGGTGGAGCTGGACGAGGCTCGTATGCCGGCTCCTGCGTCTCGTACTGAGGCTCGTAGGGTCGGCGAACCAGTTGGTAGCGCGGAGGACGCGATGGTAGCCTAGGTGGTATGTAGTCCGGTGGATTGTACTGGGGCAGTGGAACGTATTCCGGCTGGGGTGGCGTGGGTGGCGGCTGTGATGGTATGTGGTCACCGCTTGCCTACGCATCAACACAAATCATAGTAAAGTAAGATTTTGTTTAACAGATATTTGAAATTACCCTGTTGTCTTACATTCCTTATTTTTCTTATATCTGAAATTAATACGGGTATATTTTTAAAATCATTACTGCGAGGATGATAACGTTTGACGTTATACTTGTGACTTTGACTTTTAATTTTTAACGGTGAACTTAAATTAATTTTACGATTTGAAATTAAGTATTTGTAAGTTGATACCATGTTATCAGGTACGTAATTTACTTTAAGTTTTATTTATGCATCGTAAGAAAAAAAATAAAAATCAAAGAAATTAATCGAATGTACATCATATAGTTTGATCTTCACGACACAAGTAAATTGTTTCAGATGAAAGATTTCAACAGCACCACGATGTGTTTTTTAACGAGGAACAATGGAAAATAATTTATTTCACTGTACAAATATCCCCAAATTCCTGTTTCAAATAAATCTTACCATTGTGCAACCACATTCGCAATATTCGCATGCTAACTCCAAATAAGCTCCCAGACAACATGGAATTAATGGGTAGCGTTTGCATAAGTTAATGGCTAGTTCTAACGTGAGATAATATGCTAAAGCGAATGTATGTGTGGACGTGTTATTCTGCAATGTTACGGTGACACGAGAACGTGAAAGAAGTAGCAATTTACAATTTCTCTAATTTGAAACTAGTAAACAATGATGTAGGAGAATGTGACACGCAAGAGTTGAAATCAGCCGGCTCACCATTCTACGGACAATTTTCTAAAAATTAGCTATCGAAACTCTACAAAGCAACACCGTACCTTTACCATCGAAACATGCACATCCCAAACGATCTTTGAATACTTTACAAACCGTTTGAAACTTCACTGTGTACCGAACCATGCAGTTTTCCAATAATGGTCAACGTTCAAAAGTATCTCTAACACGCTATTATTGTTCCAAGTATCATTACAAGAAGGGTTGTATACTCTTGCGAAATCATGAAAATACACAAGACAAAAGAATAGGAAAAAGCGCAACCGCTAACCTGGAAGCCATTAACGCCCGCGGTATACGTGACGGTGCGCCTTTGTCCCGTTGGATCGACGTAGGAGTAGGAGCCACGTCGATTTCCGTACTCGTCACTTTCCTCCTTGAATTCAACCCCATCTTCTTGTGAATAAGCAGCACCAAAGGTCCCATCGCCAGACAAGTAGCGCTGGTCTTTCAGAATAGCCGCATTTTGCGAGGTCTGTAGATAACCACTCTGGCAGTGAGCGAGCGTTATCGCGCCGCATAATACTATCTGGAACGTAATGGATTAGAAGTGCCCAGAGTTCGCGAGCTGTTATGCACATGCGTTACTTTCACATGGACATTATTCTTTCGGTGGAATTTTTAGTCTAACCAGCTGATACGGAAATCAAGAGAAGGAGAAATAAAAATTGTCTATGTTTGACATCATGACGTACTGATAACTCCTGTTTTGAAGGGATGAAATTGCTTGAAAAGTGATAAATCTCAATTTTTTTTTTTGTGGGAGAATTATTGCTGGTTGTCGAGAGGTGAAATAATGCGAGTTATATGATGAAATTCAGGGTACATTCGTGCTAGTACCAAAACCGGTTTGTGCAGTTTTAATGTGACAATGGAATTTCTTTAGCATAAATGGTCTTTAAATTATGCACGCAAAAAATAGTGAAAATTAATACATGAGGTATATACTTTTTAATGCATTTTTTGAAAGACAATTAGAATAAAAAAATTATAGTCAAACAAATTCAGAGACTTGATCGAAACAGTGAAATCGAGGATAATGTGTCCATTATTATGCAGATTTTTATTAGAAAAAAAAAATGAGTACACACATTCTTATTATAGCACGATGTACTGATGCTAAATAATTCAAGAGAACTTCGAATACTTATAATTGTATACAAAAATACTGAAACATTATAAACTGAATTATAATGATGAAAAAAAAGTTTTTTTTTAAGTATGCTGTGTATTGCATACGTGTGAGATAAAAGTAGAAAACAATGAATGTCTAAATAATTACTTCACCATAGTGATATTTTTCATATTGACTTAATTTTTAAAACTGTAAATAGAGCATGCTTTGGAAAAATATTTTACGTAGGTAAAAATTTATGTATGTCATCATACCCGTGATTATAACAAATTAATGCCAATTTTCGTTATTTACGAGATGAAATTTCATAATACGTTTATTCATACGTATGAAGCAACAAACAGCCAATGTAGTATTTTAGAAGATCTAGATCAAAGTATTTCCACGTTCTTTTTACTTGTGTTAATATGAGTAATAAATAANGATCGCTAATCTTATCTTTTGAAAGCTGTAATTAATCGTTAAGTTAGCTAGCGTGTGGATGTATAGAGTGTGGATTTTTTATTTATCTAATCCACATTTGCAGGGAGTTAGCTTATTAACATAATTTGACGCCTGAAGTGTGTAGTATGAACATTTTATTTTAAATTTCATTCCTGGAAAGCAGAGGATACGTGTAAAGCGTAACGACGCAAGTGTTATGAACCATTTTCTATTATAAATAGGTAATTGAATGAATTAGAAAAAATTAAGCTAGGTATATGAATACCTAACACAATATATAACAAAATAAATTAGACGAATTAATTATTGAACGAGGAAATAAAATATTTAAATGCACTTAAAAATTAAAAAGGATTTGATTCAAAAATTCGCTGTCTCAAAACTAAATTTTTCTTTGTTCACAACCTTACTAATTTTAGATATAAAGTAGAGCAAATAAGTACCACTAAGGTCCCAATAAGTATTGGCAGTAAATCTTATAAATAAAAGTAATAAGTCATCTTACTATAGTAAATAAGTCCCTCATTGTGCCAGGAACTGAAACGCCACACCACAAGTGGTTGAAACAAAACAGTGCGCTGTCGCCGGCTCGAGAGGGGCGTTTTATACCACAGGAGGTCGGCACGAAGGTTCAAACCCACCTCTGCTACGGCGTTACTACAAAGCCGCCCGTTCTCTATTGAGCCCATGTTTATACCATAAAGCACGATTTAATAGGTATCCAGATATCACTACCACGCCCAAGCGCAACGAATACATCGTATGTACATCGCACACATCGATACCCGATTAATACCACGTAAAATGGTTCAAATTAAAGAGGAAAATGAAGGAAAGTCTAGCTTATGCAATTAGATCCAAAAAGCAAGACAGTATCGTTGTATTGTGCACAAGCAAACTTAAGATTGTTGGGCCATTTATTTTCTCGAGTAGATATGTGTCAAGATGCTTGGTTGAATCGGCTTATATACTTCAGTTGAGTATATTTTTTATTTAAGTGAGTACGTACTCAAAGAATTGAGGGAGTGTCTAGCTTTCTTCGTACCAAACATTTTTCAATTTTCGCTGGTAGTTGTAGAATGCAAGGAATTCTTTTCATTTATTTTTTGGCAATTGAGCAGGTTTGAAAATACTTCATGTTTAAAAAGCCATTCTCAAAATATTTAATTGGAGGGTCTGGTCGTGTACACTGCGCTTTTTCACAGAAAGTTGAGGGATACATTCCGTACATGACACTTTCGCGTGTAGAATTCATACAAAAAGATATATCTTTCTATAGATTCCTTTTCACTATGGGAATATAAAGCATAATCAACAATGATTGTGTTACATGTTAAATAAAGAAAGATTCCAGAAGAATAGTTTTGTACCTAGTGGCTTATGTCACCAGGTCAAGCACCAGACCCGAGGGACTCCTTGTGCTTTCTCTGGTTGGATACGCACTAGATGAGAACGATGTTCATTACTTTAGGCGCACTAAATATCGGAAGATGTAATAAAACGCCGATCGTAAGAAAAAAAACATTTTTAAGAAGCTTATGTAACTTTTTCAAATTAATTAAATGCTTTTTTAAACATAAAATTTTGAAATTACATAAAAAAACTCTACAGTTAAGTAAAATAGTAGAAATCATACGAACGTTTATCATTAAAAATTAAAGTCAATATAGGTACTGAAGTGAATTTGTGGATAAACTTTATTGTAGATATATCCGTTTGAAATGCTATGAAGGGGTGATCGGCAGTAGATATTTTATCCTATGTATGTAAGCCTTATCTTACGAGCAGTATTCAAATAAAACAATGCTAGTTCTAGCGATAAAACAGAGGGGACGCTTGCTATTCAATGTCTGGAAAATTCTAATTTATATTACTATAAATTATTAAATAATAATAATAATAATCTGAGT